TTCATCCTCTCCTTCTAATCAGGGGCTAATTCAGACCTGGGACACCAGGTGAGTGCAATTAACTACCAGGTAGAAATAAAAAACAGAAGTGTTTCGGCCCTCCAGGACCGGAATTGAAGAACCCTGGTATAGGGTATTATCATAACTACTATGGCCAGTATCAGTGGAAATTCCCATGTAGGAATAAAATACAGCCTTATTTGGCAATAAAAACACTCTTATTTTACCCTGATAAAATTAGCAACAGTCACAAACTCTCAGTACTTTGATTGGCTATAATGTCAAGTTTGACATTCAAAGCAGTCAGTGTTGTGTTCCTCTACACCAGAGGGTAGGCAACTAAATGTCTTCTCCAGAGTGACTTAGAGTAGGCCTAGTGAGTGAATACATTTTGGTACCGATTCCCCCATGGGAATCAAACCCACAACCCTCGCATTGCAAGTGCCATGCTCTACCAACTGAGCCACAGGTGACTTACTATTCTGCCACAGGACGGTTTTTGTTGGAGTGGATGGTTGTGAGGCCAGACCATAAAGTTGACTGCAAGTTGACCACAACTAAGCCCAAAAAGAGATTGTATTTGAAAATAATAATAATTTCGTAACTTGATTTATTTGTTGGAATAGATTTCATAAATTTAAAGTCATTTTTTGCTGAATTCCAGGTGGGTTTACAGTAGTTTTTGACCAAAAACTAAAATCCTCCACCCCAAAATCACTTGCAGGACAGTTTTGCCCAGCCTGTTGCTGACCCCTGCTCTACACTGTGGTCAGCAAAACCTTTGGACAAGGTTTGATATGAAAATCTGTGCAAAACAGATTTCTGCCACACCACATGCAGCTACATTGACGTTGGTACGCCGATTTGCCTAACAACCCCAATCTGAATTCAGTCATTTCCTAAGTCCAACCATTGCCCGACAGCTGCTTACCTGTAACTGGTAAGGACGCTTTAAATTTGTTCACAACAATGATTAAAAACGAGCTGTATGTAAAATGCTGCATCAAAAAGCTTCAGAAACACAGCTGAACTCCCATCCATCATCCCTATGCTGTCATTCTTGGATAGTGAGCATTTAGCAAAGGTTTCCAATAGAGATAGAGGACTCATCTTCATATCTGTGCCATTATAGCGTCCATTGAGGCTACGACCCATAGGAAACCCCACCCAGTTGACTGCACGTACTTTGACTACCTTAAAATAGTGGAAGCTTGGGGGAAGCCCTCGATGGCGCTGCCCATGCTAAAATGGCATTTTGGCCACTAGAGATCTCTATCATTCTCTAAGGTTTTTCCCTTCAACTTGCACTTGTTGACGTTTCCGAAATTCTCTAAATACTACATCATGATTAAGTCAGAGGGGTTGTCTTCCAATGGTTTGTGAGTGATAAACATTGCTACAATGTCTCCACCTTGTGGGATGCAGAAGTACACTGCATGACCAAAAGTGAACATCTCATTCCAAAATCATGGGCATTCATATGGAGTTGGTCCCACCTTTGCTGCTATAAAAGCCACTCTTCTGGGAAGGCTTTCCACTAGATGTTGGAACATTGCAGCGGGGACTTGCTACCATTCAGCCACAAGAGCATTAGTGAGATCGGGCACTGATGTTGGGCGATTAGGCCTGGCTCGCAGTCGGTGTTCCAATTAATCCCAAAGGTGTTCGATGGGGTTGAGGTCAGGGCTCTGTGCAGGCCAGTCAAGTTCTTCCACACCGATCTCGACAAACCATTTCTGTATGGACCTCGCTTTGTGCATGGGGGCATTGTCATGCTGAAACATGAAAGGGCCTTCCCCAAACTGTTGCCACAAAGTTGGAAGCACAGAATCGTCTAGAATGTCATTGTATGCTGTAGCGTTAAGATTTCCCTTCACTGGAACTAAGGGTCCTAGCCCGAACCATGAAAAACAGCCTCAGACCATTATTCGTCCTACACCAACCTTTAAAGATGGCACTATGCATTGTGGCAGGTAGTGTTCTCCTGGCATCCGCCAAAACCTGCTCGGCCATGGAAAAGCATTTCATGAAGCTCCTGACAAAACAGTTCCTGTGCTGACATTGCTTCCAGAGGCAGTTTGGAACTCGGTAGTTAGTGTTGCAAGCGAGGACAGACGATTTTTACGCGCTACATGCTTCAGCACTCGGCGGTCCCGTTCTGTGAGCTTGTGTGGCCTACCACTTTGCGGCTGAGCCACTGTTGCTCCTAGACGTTTCCACTTCACAATAACAGCACTTGCAGTTGACTGGGGCAGCTCTAGCAGGGCAGACATTTTACAAACTGACTTGTTGGAAATGTTTGGCATGGGTCCTCAGGCATGGGTCCTCAGATCCTCAAAAGATTCTACAGCTGCACCATCGAGAGTATCCTGACTGGTTGCATCACTGCCTGGTATGGCAACTGCTCGCCCTCCGACCGCAAGGCACTACAGAGGGTAGTGCGTACGGCCCAGTACATCACTGGGGCCAAGCTTCCTGCCATCCAGGACCTCTATACCACGCATTGTCAGAGGAAGGCCCTAAAAATGGTCAAAGACTCCAGCCACCCTAGTCATAGACTGTTCTCTCTGCTACCGCACGGCAAGCGGTACCGGAGTGCCAAGTCTAGGTCCAAGAGGCTTCTAAACAGCTTCTACCCCCAAGCCATGACTCCTGAACATCTAATCAAATGGCTAACCAGACTATTTGCATTGTATGTGGCTATGGAGATTGAATGGCTGTGTGCTCAATTTTATATACCTGTCAGCAATGGGTGTGGCTGAAATAGCCAATTCTACTAATTTGAAGGGGTGTCCACATACTTTTGGTATCATATAATAGCACTCACAGCTTTCCAAGAAAACAAAATCTGAGACATTTATGGTCTGTTTACATACATTTTAGAGGATAATTATACAGAAAATGTGTATAAGACCTGCATAAACCGTATTTATAATTATTTGACAATATTTTAGGTTGACTATAATTCCATTACACAATTTCTGATATAATCACATGCCTTACTTCAGGAATCAGGAAATACATCACCTATAACTCTACTGCCATTCATTCCAATTAGATTGGTTTTAGATATCTCCCTGACCAAGATGGCTGCCATTTTGGCCCCATTATGGAACTTTGAGGGTTTATAACATAGTCCCTATAGTAATTTAATAGGATCTCTATGGACATAACATTGAAATAACACCAACATCACACAGTTTGAATATAGAAAAAGCACTACAGTCTTATGTTTTTCTTTTTAAAAAAAATCACAGTAATGATTTCACACAACTCACTGCCGTGGGCAGCATACATTTAACATCTCTAAGTAATTTATTAGAACAGGGATGTTTGCAGAGAAGTCTACCGTCAAGTGGCTCAAACAGTCTTACAAAAGGTTTGCGCCAGTCACCTGTGTCCATGCATTACCAGCAAGTCTTTCCAGAGCATTGTAATGTAAAGCTTTCAGTCACTTACAATATTAGTCTTAAATGTACCCCTTCCCCAACCCCAATGTGTGAAGCACAGGAGGTTGGTGACAGCTTAATTGAGGAGGACGGGCTCATGGTAATGACTGGAGCGGAATTAGTGGAATTAAATACATCAAACACATGGTTTCTAGGTGTTTGATACCATTCCATTGGCTCCGTTCCAGACATTATTATGAGCCGTTCTCCCCTCAGCAACCTACTGTGGTGTGAAATATACCCACTTTGGTCAAATAAAACCTCGCCTGGAAATGCAAGACACATGACTATAAGCAAGGTTAGCAGTTATACATTCTGTAGCACTCGATTGCTCCACATTGAACGGTCCATTTCCTTCAGACAAATTATGCAGTAGTGCTGCTGTAGTAATGATAAAACAATAATAATAATAGTAGAAAAATAACAGCAAAGATGATCACAAGAGGGAAAAAACTAAAATAAACGTACGTTTCAGAGTACTGGTGCTGATAGAACCATGTGCTTTCCAAGCTCTAAAATAGATATTTATCAAAACGCTCTAAGTGCAAGATATGTCCAGAGTCGACAATCTTCCTTAGTATGAAACGACTATGTTCTCAGAAATAACAACTACTTCAGGCAAAACAGAGCTGCTTTTGAACTTGTGGTCAAGTGCCCGGAAGATGTCAAGTTCATGGCAGGGGAGTACTTTAAGTCTATAAGTAACAATTGTTCACAATCAACCCAATTGATTTCGCACGCACACACACGGTCACACAAAAAATAAGGTTACTAGTAGTAAAGCCTGTACGACCTACAAGGACCAGCCTAGAAATACATTTGGACCCTGGCTGCCCTGAAGACACAGGAAGTTAAGTCTGGACCAGGGACAAAGCACATGAACCACTGGTCCAGAAAAATAAGAGCCTATCAATAGGAAAATAAAGGAAACCGGAGGCATTGACTTTCACTGCATGACAAGCAGAAGAACATTAAGCTTAAGTGGTCACTAGACTACAGGTACATTTTTAAAACACAGTAATAGATTCAGTACAAAGGTACTCAAATGTATTGTAAGTTTAACATCCGAGTAATGCACAACTTAAAAGTCACCCTTTCAAAAAAAAAAAGCTTGTCTAAGATGACCCCAAAATATTCAGGTAAAGTCATGAGGAAAGCCTCGGGGTTAAAACACACACACACCTCTATCTCTGAAATACATTTATTCAAGCAGCAATATGAAAAAATATCCATGAAGTATGCATAATCTCTGAAAAAAAAAAACATACTGTATGAAAACATCCCTGCTATCATGTCTCTAAATACAAAACGTTTACCAATAATTTGCTTCAGTTCATCAAGAGAAGTCATTTTTCCAATTTTTTTGGTCTTTTTATCTGTCCTTTTAAAAACAGGTTACAATTTCAGTCCTCAGGTGTGATGACAGTCTTTTTTTTTTATCGTATACTTGAAGAAGTTGTAAGCATGCAAGCCTCGTAGAGGAGGGGCCCGGAGGGGCGGGGCTAATGCCCGGAGGGGCTGATGGGGTGGGCTGGTAGCAGTGCTAGAGTATTAGGCCAGGGCCGGGAAGGCCTCTGGGTCGTCAACGTTGGGAACGGACACTCCACCCGGCTGGGGACAAGAGAGAGAGAAAAATATTTTTTAAAAAATTACAAAATCAGAGAATACTGGGTCGTGTTCAGTAGGGATTGGGAGGTACTACATGAACAACACAACTCAAAACAAGTAGAACAATGATCACAGTCAGCTTGAGCACCCAATTTGACTTTTTGTGGTCAGTGAAAACAGCTTTCTATGGTCAGTAACCATTAAGGTTGAATGGTGGGAACCCGGTTACCGAGGTTTACTGCCCAAAACCACTCCCTTTTCCTGCGAGAAACTGGTAAATTTGAATAAATTATTTATATGAACAGCATGGCGTGAAATGGAACTGTTAAATTATATGCAATGTCTAAATCTGGCTTCTCTACGGCCAATGCATGATGATTCAACGCTCAGGATGGGGACAGACAGCCCATCTCAGTATGGAGCGCAGTTCACAATGCATGTATCATCTCATCATGGCAACCTTTTTTCTTGTGACAGGTAGGCCTAGATTTGCTGCAGCATAGCCCTTGCTACAGTAATATAAGGACCGAATGCGTGTCTAATTTACCATCTCCATCTGGCTTTCGGGGTCACCTTGTTTTTAATTGTAAAGATTATAATTTTTAAAATTCCAGCTCCAGAGTTTTAAAAATAGCTTATCACTCGAATATCGTTGCTTTAAAATCAGTGCACGCGCGAGCAGTCTCTCGCAGTCTCTCTCTCTCTCCATCAACTCCATTCAAATTGCATCCAAAATAGATAATCCTGTTCTAGATTATATATATATATATAAACTCAGCAAAAAAAGAAATGTCCTCTCACTGTCAACTGCATTTATTTTCAGCAAACTTAACATGTGTAAATATTTGTATGAACATAACAAGATTCAACAACTGATACAGAAACTGAACAAGTTCCACAGACATGTGACTAACATAAATGGAATAATGTGTCCCTGAACAAAGAGGGGGTCAAAATCAAAAGTACCAGTCAGTATCTGGTGTGGCCACCAGCTGCATTAAGTACTGCAGTGCATCTCCTCCTCATGGACTGCACCAGATTTTCCAGTTCTTGCTGTGAGATGTTACCCCACTCTTCCACCAAGGCATCTGCAAGTTCCCGGACATTTCTTGGGGGAATGGCCCTAGCCCTCACCCTCCGATCCAACAGGTCCCAAATGTGCTCAATGGGATTGAGATCCGGGCTCTTCGCTGGCCATGGTAGAACACTGACATTCCTGTCTTGCAGAAAATCACGCACAGAACGAGCAGTATGGCTGGTGGCATTGTCATGCTGGAGGGTCATGTCAGGATGAGCCTCGGCGTAACGCTCATTCCTTCGACGATAAACACTAGTCCGACCATCACCCCTGGTGAGACAAAACCGCGACTCGTCAGTGAAGAGCACTTTTTTCCAGTCATGTCTGGTCCAGCGACGGTGGGTTTGTGCCCATAGGCGACGTTGTTGTCGGTGATGTCTGGTGAGGACCTGCCTTACAACAGTTCTACAAGCCCTCAGTACAGCCTCTCTCAGCCTATTGCGGACAGTCTGAGCACTGATGGAGGGATTGTGCGTTGCTGGTGTAACTCGGGCAGTTGTTGTTGCCATCCTGTACCTGTCCTGCAGGTGTGATGTTCGGATGTACCGATCCTGTGCAGGTGTTGTTACAAGTGGTCTGCCACTGCGAGGACGATCAGCTGTCCGTCCTGTCTCCCTGTACCGCTGTCTTAGGCATCTCACAGTACGGACATTGCAATTTATTGCCCTGGCCACATCTGCAGTCCTCATGCCTCCTTGCAGCATGCCTAAGGCTCGTTCACGCAGATAAGCAGGGACCCTGGGCATCTTTCTTTTGGTGTTTTTCAGAGTCAGTAGAAAGGCCTCTTTAGTATCCTAAGTTTTCATAAGTGTGACCTTAGCGTGGAACCCTGTATTATCGGCATATTCAACAGCGTAATTTTTTTTTATTACCTTCAACAGTGTTATCTTGTGATCAAGCCATCAATGTTATGTGATTATTGGTGTCGTAAAAATGTTAGCTAACGGGTTAGCAATTAGCAAGTTTGACATTTCAGTGGAAATACTACTATTATCAGCTTTTTGATAAGCGGTTTAGCAAAGAAATACGTCCCGTATTATCGGCATACGGCCCCGTTATTGGCCACCTTACTATTTTGTTAAAAAAAGAGACACCAACCACGTACCCGAAGTGATTACTAGATAGTTGACTAGTTGGCTAGCCTTCCGGTAAAAAAGAATGACTTGCCTGTCAACTTTTCATTGCGTAGCCCGGTGCGCCCTCCTGTGGACTCTTAAAAAATGGTTCTTCACCAACATATTCAGCGTTTTACAGATTAATCTTATGTTTTGAGAAAGTAGATAACAGTTGAATACTAAAATATGAGTATTAATAATTTACATCAAATAAAACTTTAATTTCATTTATGTGCATTGACATAAACAATGAAAACACTGTTTGAGTTTGTGTTGCAGAGGTGCACTTGGAAAGTAAAGGAAGAAATACACAAGATGGGTTCAATAAATATATATTATATTTTAGACATTTATTTTTTGGTACAAATAAATAATTTCATATGAACACAAACAAAACAAACAATTAAATCTCGACCTATATTGTCACAAAAATCACAATAGAAATCCAGCTCCACCGCTACCTCTTGATCCCACTGCACACACCTGCAGTGGAACCAGTGCTGGCAGAAGTCACAGCACACCCATGGCACCTCGGATCTACACTCCTGAGAGGAGCTTGCAGGCGGATCATGCTCTCCGTAGCGAGCACAGCAGGTGTCTTCTTTCATATAAAATAAAATAAAATAATAATAAAAATTGATTAATATGGTTTTGCAAAATGTAGAAGTTCTTCAACAACAATAGTAATTGATACAACTGAGAGAGAGAGAAAAACAGATGATGAAGTACCTGAGAGTGGTGGCATGACAGATGTGACCAGTGGAGCTTTTCTCTTCCTTTTCTGTGCTGCAGTTTGAGAAAAAGTAGTGTTAGACAGAGCATGTTTCATGAAAACCCTTTTCAACTTTTTACATCAATACCTCTGGAGGAAGCTGCAGAGGTTTTGGAGGAGGTGGAGATGACTTGAGGGCTGGTGCTATGTACTGTAGATATGTAAAGAGAGATTGGCCGATGGTGTGGCCAGGAGAGTAGGCACGTGGCCTTCTTCTGCAGCTTGGGACTCCGGCGGCTCCTACAGGTGTTGCACACTGGGAGGCACTGGCAGTAGTGATGCAGCTGTCAGGAGTGGTTCCAGCAGGGGGTCCTGCAGAGGCGATGGCGTCAATGGTCTCATCCATGGCAGCCCTCTCCTGTGCCCTCTGTGTTCTGAGGGCTGCCCGACACTCTTTCTCCTCTGCCTCGGCCCTCTCCTTCTCACCCCTCTCCTGCCACTGGCGCGTGTATTCCTCCCCGGTGAGGCATGTGGCGACCACAGGGAGTCTTCTGTATCGGTCCAGCCGATACTTCAGGACAGTAAGGATGTGCCCCAGGTCCTTCGCTATCAGCCCCCCCTCTATTAGGGGGTGCTCTTCTAGAGCTAGGCCTGGGACTGGAGCAGGGACTGGGACTGGAGATGGGGCTGAGGGTCCTCCTGTGGTCGCTGGGGAGGAAGTGCTGATGGACGGCACAGTGCTGCTGGTTCCAGGAGAGGCGGTGGTGTGACCCGGTAGGGACCGAGACGGCATTAAACGGGACCCTTCAATGGCTGAAGGGTGAAAAGGAAAGAGGCCACACTTCTTAAACCCTTCCACCACATAGCGCATGTCCTTGCATAGCTGGTATGGGTAGCGGAATACTGATTCTGATTTGTTTACCATGTAGGAGTGGTCAAAATGGCTAAGGTCTCCAGCTACCTTGGAGAACTCAGCCTTTAAAGGGCCAAAGTATGCCACGTCCAGCGGCTGCAGGACATGGGTGCAGTGTGGTGGAAGACAAAGAAGTATAACCCCTTCCCTTAGTGCCGCCGCGAGCACTTCCGGGTCCATGTGGCTCTTGTGCCCATCGAAGAGGAGAAGGAGAGGGCGCTCCTTCACTGCATGCTTAAAGAAGTGCTGAAACCACTTCCTGAACAGGTCCCCGTCAATGTAGCCACTGCTAGCCAAGGCTTGGGGGGGGGGGGGGGCTCCCAGTGTGTAGTGGCCACCGGGGAAACACTTGGGGTAGATGATAAACGGGGGTACGTCCTCCCCAGCTGCGTTGAAGCAGGCCAGCACTGTGATGTGCTCCTTGGTCCCCGGAGCCTGCTGGTACACGTGTTTTGCGCCCCGGGGAGCCAGCACTTTGTGCCTGCTCTGGTCGCTACGAAACCCAGACTCATCGCAGTTATAGATTTGTCTGGGTTACTCCCTCAACCCACTCTCCTCCAAGTGCTTCTCATAAGAAGTGAAGAAGGTGTCCATCGTCGGACGTGTGGCACACTCAGCTCTCCCCCTGCCCAGGGTGTCCGGCCTCCTCATGCTCAGGTTCTTGTGCCTCTTCCTGAACATTTCCCACCTCCTCTTCCCCAGTGGTGGGATTGTTTCCCCTGGGTGCCGAAACCTACAATAGAATAGAATAGAATAGAATATATAATTGTCCATCCAGGATGAAAATGTTTGTTTTGGCATCACCATACATATCCACATTTACATCACACACATTGAGAACAGTCAGTCCACCAATCTACATATATAAATACATAGAACACCAAATACCTGCCTATTTTGTTGGCGTATTTCATCAGCCTCTGTCTGGTGAAGGGGAACCCATGGATACAGTACTGCACCAGAGAATTTTAATCCTCTGGTGCAAGCAATGTGGGTGGTCCACTGCGACAACCATGGGTCACCCGGCCGCTCAGCCTGTCCGCCAGGGTCTGCCGAGGTACACCATGCACCTTGGTAGATAAGAAAAGAAAACTGTTACTAGCAGATAAAATTCACATACACATGGTAATCTCCTAAAAACAAAAGATGCCTAACCTTGGCAGCCTGGCGGATAGCCATCCCTGCCCCGCAGTCCTCCAAGGCATGGAACATGTCCACCTCACTCCACTGCTTCCTCTTGACCTTCTCCATGCTGTGGTGTTAATACATGTAGCTAAATAACTTGGCATACTATACACATTTTAGAAAGACAATCAAATCAAATCAAATGTTATTGGCCACATGCGCCGAATACAACAGGTGCAGACATTACAGTGAAATGCTTACTTACAGCCCTTAACCAACAGTGCATTTATTTTTAATAAAAATGTAAAATAAAACAACAAAAAAGTGTTGAGAAAAAAAGAGCAGAAGTAAAATAAAATAACAGTAGGGAGGCTATATATACAGGGGGGTACCGGTGCAGAGTCAATGTGCGGGGGCACCGGCTAGTTGAGGTAGTTGAAGTAATATGTACATGTGGGTAGAGTTAAAGTGACTATGCATAAATAATTAACAGAGTAGCAGCAGCGTAAAAAGATGGGGTGGGGGTGGGGGGGCAGTGCAAATAGTCCGGGTAGCCATGATTAGCTGTTCAGGAGTCTTATGGCTTGGGGGTAGAAGCTGTTGAGAAGTCTTTTGGACCTAGACTTGGCACTCCGGTACCGCTTGCTGTGCGGTAGCAGAGAGAACAGTCTATGACTAGGGTGGCTGGAGTCTTTGACAATTTTGAGGGCCTTCCTCTGACACCGCCTGGTATAGAGGTCCTGGATGGCAGGAAGCTTGGCGCCAGTGATGTACTGGGCCGTACGCACTACCCTCTGTAGTGCCTTGCGGTCGGAGGCCAAGCAGTTGCCATACCAGGCGGTGATGCAACCAGTCAGGATGCTCTTGATGGTGCAGCTGTAGAATTTTTTGAGGATCTGAGGACCCATGCCAAATATTTTCAGTCTCCTGAGGGGGAATAGGCTTTGTTGTGCCCTCTTCACGACAGTCTTGGCGTGTTTGGACCATGATAGTTCGTTGGTGATGTGGACACCAAGGAACTTGAAGCTCTCAACCTGTTCCACTACAGCCCCGTCGATGAGAATGGGGGCGTGCTCAGTCCTCTTTTTTTTCCTGTTGTTCACAATCATCTCCTTTGTCTTGGTCACTTTGAGGGAGAGGTTGTTATCCTGGCACCACACGGAGATAACTCAATCTGAATATGAATAAACATTTACATTTCAAAGCTAAGGCATTGAAAGGTGATGAAAGTTTTCACTAACTGAAAGTGTACCCACGTTTTTTGTTTGATGTTATCTGTAATGAAAATGAGTGTCCCAATTAGTTTAATATTGATGCATAAATTGTCAAATTTGACTAAATACTCCCTCTATGTAGCTGTTGTAAGATGAAACATAGCCAACAGTGATAGGTGTCAAAAAGTTAATGGTTCAAAGTTCCAAATACATTTTTGCAGATTGTGCAAAACGCCTCCGTCGGAGGACTCCAATTTTGATACGATAAAGCTTGACAACATTCAGCTGTTTTTGTGATATGTATTATCTAACGCTTACAATTTATTTCCCTTTTGCTGTCTTAGCAGTTCTATCAACATTTAGCAACTAAGCTAGCAACATTAGAAAATCAGTTAGCTATATTTCAGAGGTAAAAAGTTGGATATGAAATGATGTGTGGTCTGTCGCGCAGTCAAATTTTACAATATGCAGCGTGTTGCACAAAATGTGTACATATATAACTTTTTTGAAAACGCTCAAAACCTAACTTAACTTACACAAATTGCACTGAAAATCGGTGGTCAGCTAGCTAGAAGGGTGTCGTTAGTCGCAAAACTTACCGTTCTTTTCCAGTCCATTTAAATGTTGAGCTCGAGGTGATTTAGTCCTCCAACCGCTAGAGTGTCCAAAGTTAGGGGTTGTCCGATGTTGGGGGGTGTCCGATGTTAGGGGGTGTCCGATGTTAGGGGGAAAATTAGCTAATTGCCTACTGTTAGTGTCTTGACGACCGTTCCACAGGTGCATGTTCATTAACTGTTTATGGTTCATTGAACAAGCATGGGAAACAGTGTTTAAACCCTTCACAATGAAGATCTGTGAAGTTATTTGGATTTTTACAAATTATCTTTGAAAGACAGGGTCCTGAAAAAGGGATGTTTCTTTTTTTGCTGAGATATATATATATATATATATATATATATATATATATATATATATATAGATAGATAGATGTCTTAGCCTACCTCTTACAGGTAATACATTTCATGCAGTACTATCCTTATATTTATCTAATTAATGATGCATAACAAGTGTCTAACTTATAGCCTCTGTCTCTTGCTCAATACGCAACCACCTGTGCTCTGCTGGCCTCCTTAAAAAACGCTCCTTAGCTCTTGGAGTTCCATGCAGGAAAAGCTAGACTAGAATAGCTTGCTGGAAATCTCTTTTTTTTTTTTGAGCATTTCTTATACCAATAGACTATTCGGCAAGCTATTTTTTGCTGAATGTTAAATACAGCAGCCAAGAGAACTCACGGGTAGTTTGAAAGAAGAGCAAACGCGCGATGGTGGCAGGCCATAGCAGTTATTTATTCAGCCCCATACCCATTCAATCTTCGTGAAGAGAAGTGAAAGCCTTCTGCATCTAATTCTAGTCCTATATTATTCAAGGATGTCATTAGAACGATGAAGAGGAGGCTAATAACATTAGGGGAAATATTATGAAAGGTATATATATATTCGTCAGCCTACTAATGACACAAATAGGCCCCATTATATTTCAGTAGCCTATACTTGTAACTTTGTAGGCCGCATGTTCTGCACCAGAATCGCATGTTCTCTCCTGCTTTATCATGGTTTGAATGATGTGCGTAATTCCAGTCCATATAATACAATACAGTACAGTAATACAGTTCACGCTCAAAAAGATTAGCCTACTGGAGCTAGATTAATTGATTTACCCAAGAGAGGATATAGCTAGCTACATCTATGGGCTTTTATATAGCTAGGTACATCTATGGGCTTTTATATAGCTAGCTACATCTATGGGCTTTATATAGCTAGCTACATCTATGGGCTTTATATAGCTAGCTACATCTATGGGCTTTATATAGCTAGCTACATCTATGGGCTTTATATAGCTAGCTACATCTATGGGCTTTATATAGCTAGCTACATCTATGGGCTTTATATAGCTAGCTATGGGCTTTTATGTTTTTTTGTCGTGCGTAATGTGCAGTAGCCTATATCATATATGTATTGGATAATGGCACAATCATTTGTGCTTTTTTGTGCTTGGGTTCATTAAACGTCGTTAATGTAGGACTGATAAAATGTATTTAATATATGTCTCATCAGGCTCAGGTAGCATCAAGTTTGAATTTTCATGCTGATCAAAGCTCTAACCAAATCCCAACATATTTATATGCTTTATAATGCTTTTGAATGACACTTCCGGTTTTGGCGGGAAATACCGGGTTACCCGGGAGAAAAGTGATTTATTCTCGGGATTGAACATTTGTAAAATACAGGGAAAATATTCAACCCTAGTAATCATAGCCTTTTGTGATCAATATTTACATCTATTTGTGTTCAATGACAACAGCCTCCATTAGCGTTACCTTTTCAGATCGGCCTCCTCCCGCACCGCGGCCTCCCCTTCCTCCACGGGCTCCCCCGCGCCCGCGCCGGCCCAGGTCTCCAAAGTTGATCTCCAGCTGGGCCGTGATGTCGTTGGCGGGCTTGCGGAAGTGGTGATCCGGGCCGACTTCTTCAGGATTGCCCTGATGGAGGAAGAATTGATGTTGTTTACATTTAACCAGAATCCACTGATAGCAACCATCTCAACTCAAATAGCCAACATGCTAACTACAGTTTGACATAAATAAACTCCTGATATACTATGCCAATGTGTATGAGTGTGTAGATAAAGGCTTGTTTTATCAGAATTGTATAGGGTTGAATATGTGAAACAACAGGCACCTTGAACAGAGGGGTCGTGTCTGCTTCAATCTCCGGAGCATCAATCACAGCTGGTCTCTGCAACATCCAAGAGAAAGGACCAACAATAAGGATGAATACGTCAGTCACATTTGTAATGGCATAGCCTCTTGGGGAGGGTTGTAATGGCATAGCCTCTTGGGGAGGGTTGTAATGGCATAGCCTCTTGGGGAGGGTTGTAATGGCATAGCCTCTTGGGGAGGGTTGTAATGCCATAGCCTCTTGGGGAGGGTTGTAATGGCATAGCCTCTTGGGGAGGGTTGTAATGGCATAGCCTCTTGGGGAGGGTTGTAATGGCATAGCCTCTTGGGGAGGGTTGTAATGGCATAGCCTCTTGGGGAGGGTTGTAATGGCATAGCCTCTTGGGGAGGGTTGTAATGCCATAGCCTCTTGGGGAGGGTTGTAATGCCATAGCCTCTTGGGGAGGGTTGTTTGCTGGTTTACTATCTGGTTTATAGCAGCCATTTTGTTGGCCAATACATAAACAAATACAGACCACCACAGTTATTTAATACCTTACCAAGCATTGATCCACAACTAGGGCTGGCACAATTACACATTGTTATTTTTATAGTTTTTGTATTTTACCCCCCTTTTCACCCCAATTTCGATCTTGTCTCATCGCTGCAACTCCCCAACTGGCTTGTAAGTTGAGTTGAATCAACAAATCACAGCACAAATTGATGGGTACACTTCCTGTTTTTACTTCCTGCTTTGCTCCTATGGATACACTTGTAATGGCCAGTCCACCCCTTATGCCTTCATTGACTTGAATGGGGATGCCCGTTCTTTTCATTATATTATTTCTATGGCAGCACATGCAGTCAGGAGTGGAGGAAAGCAGAAAATGTAGGTCAAAACAAATACATATATATACACAAATATTCCTATTTGAATGGTTATTATGGAGACCGCGGCCATTTGGCTGGCCAATTACCGTCATCCAAAACTCCATGACTGTCACAGTCCTAAACACAACCAAATACAATGGGAAAACATCCATATATCCATATATATCCATATATATATATATATATATATCCATATATATATATATATATATATATATATATATATATATATATATATATATATATATATATATACACACACCTAACAGTGCACTGCACAACTATAGATAAGCAAAAAATAAATACAAATTCTCGGCTCGTGTCACTTACGTCTTTCGGCTTTTCGTCACTTACATCTTCGCTCTTGGACTTGTGCAGAACGTAGCCTTTGTTCCACTTGCTGTCGGCGCCCTCGTTGGGCTTGCGGATGTTGAACTCCACCTTGGCTCGCTCCTTGTCCTGCATGGCCTTCCATTCATCCAGGGTCATCTCCTTGGGGCCCTCCTCCTTTGGTTCCTCCACCTCATTCTCCCTGGAGGAGACAGAGACACATTTGTTATTGCAAGCGATTACCATCCATTGTCTGTTAGCTTTCACATTTCTGTTGTTGTTTTGGATTTATTCTAGATTGACTGTAGGGCTGCTTGCATTGTGGACCACAGGATGAATTGAACGTTGAGATCATACTGAATGAAGCAGCATGAATGCAGCACCATAGTGAACCAGTACAAATTCAAGAACAGGTATCCCTGGCAAAAATTCAACTTAACCTGTATAAATAAAGGTTCAATGAAAAGGAGCTAAATTAGTTGGTTGTGTAGTTGGTGGTCCCGTTTTACAGTCAGAGCAGCAGTCCTGGGGTGTTCTGCACAGAGGTGTGTGGGGAGGTTAACTAGACAGGTCCAGGAGGGTACTCACTTGTTCTCAGAGTCAGCAGGGGGGTGTTCCTCTCCCTCAGGGGTTACCTCAGGGGCAGAAGTCTGTTCAGCATCACCACTGGGGAACGGAAATTCAACACAACTTGATTTATCCCCTCAAGGGCGAAGGAACAAACCAGTCAACATCAACAAAGGACCTGTGTCCTTGACTACACATAACGATGCTCTTTCATCTCATTTAAGGGAGCAGGATATGATTGTTTGAACACCGACCTCGTTTCGTCCTTGGGGTTCCCCCAGTTGTGAGAGCCACTCCCGCCACGCTTCTCCTCGGATTTCTGACTGTTGAGAAAAAAACGGAAACCAAAAGCTCCACCATCACCACCACTAGTCACAGAGCATCTGAATATCTAATCCCTCCAAAATACCATCATCACCACTAGTCACAGAGCATCTGAATATCTAATCCCTCCAAAATACCATCACTACCACTAGTCACAGAGCATCTGAATATCTAATCCCTCCAAAATACCATCACCACCACTAGTCACAGAGCATCTGAATATCTAATCCCTCCAAAATACCATCACCACCACTAGTCACAGAGCATCTGAATATCTGATCCCTCCAAAATACCATCACCACCACTAGTCACAGAGCATCTGAATATCTAATCCCTCCAAAATACCATCACTACCACTAGTCACAGAGCATCTGAATATCTAATCCCTCCAAAATACCATCACTACCACTAGTCACAGAGCATCTGAATATCGAATCCCTCCAAAATACCATCACCACCACTAGTCACAGTGCATCTGAATATCTAATCCCTCCAAAATACCATCACTACCACTAGTCACAGAGCATCTGAATATCTAATCCCTCCAAAATACCATCACTACCACTAGTCACAGAGCATCTGAATATCTAATCCCTCCAAAATACCATCACTACCACTAGTCACAGAGCATCTGAATATCTAATCCCTCCAAAATACCATCACCACCACTAGTCACAGAGCATCTGAATATCTAATCCCTCCAAAATACCATCACTACCACTAGTCACAGAGCATCTGAATATCTAATCCCTCCAAAATACCATCACTACCACTAGTCACAGAGCATCTGAATATCTAATCCCTCCAAAATACCATCACTACCACTAGTCACAGAGCATCTGAATATCTAATCCCTCCAAAATACCATCACTATCACTAGTCACAGAGCATCTGAATATCTAATCCCTCCAAAATACCATCACTACCACTAGTCACAGAGCATCTGAATATCTAATCCCTCCAAAATACCATCACCACCACTAGTCACAGAGCATCTGAATATCTAATCCCCCCAAAATACCATCACCACCACTAGTCACAGAGCATCTGAATATCTAATCCCTCCAAAATACCATCACCACCACTTGTCACAGAGCATCTGAATATCTAATCCCTCCAAAATACCATCACTACCACTAGTCACAGAGCATCTGAATATCTAATCCCTCCAAAATACCATCACTACCACTAGTCACAGAGCATCTGAATATCTAATCCCTCCAAAATACCATCACTACCACTAGTCACAGAGCATCTGAATATCTAATCCCTCCAAAATACCATCACTACCACTAGTCACAGAGCATCTGAATATCTAATCCCTCCAAAATACCATCACCACCACTAGTCACAGAGCATCTGAATATCTAATCCCTCCAAAATACCATCACTACCACTAGTCACAGAGCATCTGAATATCTAATCCCTCCAAAATACAATCACTACCACTAGTCACAGAGCATCTGAATATCTAATCCCTCCAAAATACCATCACTACCACTAGTCACAGAGCATCTGAATATCTAATCCCTCCAAAATACCATCACTACCACTAGTCACAGAGCATCTGAATATCTAATCCCTCCAAAATACCATCACTATCACTAGTCACAGAGCATCTGAATATCTAATCCCTCCAAAATACCATCACTACCACTAGTCACAGAGCATCTGAATATCTAATCCCTCCAAAATACCATCACTACCACTTGTCACAGAGCATCTGAATATCTAATCCCCCCAAAATACCATCACCACCACTAGTCACAGAGCATCTGAATATCTAATCCCCCCAAAATACCATCACCACCACTAGTCACAGTGCATCTGAAGCTCTAATCCCCCCAAAAGACCATCACTACCACTAGTCCTTTAAGGACTCAGAGCAGAAATGACTCACGGTTTGTCACCGCCGCCACTGTGTCTGTCGAAGTCCCGTTTGCCACGGGAGTCGAAGCCATCGCCCCGGCCCATGCCCCGCCCCCGTCCACCACGCCCGCCACCACGCCCTCTGGGGGGCCGGTCTCCAAGAGGTCTGAGGAGGGACACACATAGGCTCAGCATCAAGCAGCACAGAACTACGAATACTACTTTATTGAACGTTTTAAAAACATGCAAGGATATATACAGTGCCTTCAGAAAGTAGTCATACCCCTTGACTTATTCCACATTTTGTTGTCTTACAACCTGAATTCAAAATTGATTAAATTGATTTTTTTTCCTCACCCATCTACACACAATACCCCATAATGACAAAATGAAAACATGTTTTTAAGAATTTTAGCATAAATTCTAAAAAATTCCTAAAAACATGTAACAAGTATTCACACCCCTTTGCTATGACACTCCCAACTTGAGCTCAGGTGCATCCAATTTCTTTTGATCATCCTTGCGATGTCACTACAACTTGGGAGTCCAACTGTGGCCAATTCAATTGTTTGGACATGATTTAGAAAGAAACACACCTGTCTATATAAGGTCCCACAGTTGACAGTGCATGTCAGAGCAGAAACGATACCATGAAATCCAAGGAACTGTCCCTAGATCTCTGAGATAGAATTGTGATGAGGCATATATCTGGGGAAGGGTATAAAACAATTTCTAGTGTTGAAAGTTTCCTAGAGAACAGCGGTCTCCATCATCTGGAAATTGAAAAAATATGGAACTACCCAGACTCTGCCTAGAGCTGGCCGTCCGACCAAACTGAGCAACTGGGCAAGAAGGACCTTGGTCAGGGAGGTGACCAAGAACCCAATGACCACTCTGACAGAACTACAGAGTTCCTTGGCTGAGATGGGAGAACCTGCCAGAAGGACAATAGTTTCTACAGCACTTCACCAATCTGGCCTTTATGGGAGAGTGGCCAGACAGAAGCCACTCCTGAGAAAAAGGTACTTGACAGCACGCTTAGAGTTTGCAAAAACGCATGTGAAAGACTGAGAGGCAAAAGATTCTGTGGTCTGATGAGACAAAAATTTAACTGAATGCAAAGCACTATGTCTGGAGAAAACCAGGCACAGCTCATCACCCGTCAAACACCATCCCTACCATGAAGCATGGTGGTGGCAGAATCATGCTATTTACATTTTTTACATTTTAGTCATTTAGCAGACGCTCTTATCCAGAGCGACTTACAGTTAGTGAGAGCATACATTTTTCATACTGGCCCCCCGTGGGAATCAAACCTACAACCCTGGTGTTGCAAGCACCATGCTCTACCAACTGACCCCAAGCATACAGCCAAAGCAACACTGGAATGGCTTTAGAACAAGAATGTGAAAGTCCTTGAGTGGCCCAGCCAAAGCCCAGAATTGAAAATCTGTGGAAAGACTTGAAGATTACTGTTCACCGCCGCTCCCGATCTAACTTAACAGAGCTTGAGAAAATCTGCAAGGAAGAATGAGAGAAAATCCCCAAACCCAGATGTGCAAAGCTGATAGACATACCCAAGACGACTCACAGCTGTAATCGCCGCCAAAGGTGTTTCTACAAAGTAATGACTCAGGGGTGTGAATACTTATGTAAATGAGATATTTCATTATTTCCTTTTCAATAAATTAGCAAAAATTTCTAAAAACATGTTTTCACTAATTTGATCCATTTTTAATTCAGGCTCTAACAACAAAATGTAAAATAAGTCATGGGGTATGAATACTTTCTGAAGGCACTGTAGGTTATACAGTGAGGGAAAAAAGTATTTGATCCCCTGCTGATTTTGTACGTTTGCCCACTGACAAAGAAATGATCAGTCTATAATTTTAATGGTTGGTTTATTTGAACAGTGAGAGACAGAATAACGCAGAAAATACAGAAAAATTCAGAAGAACGCATGTCCAAAATGTTATAAATTGATTTGTATTTTAATGAGGGTAAGAAGTATTTGACCCCTCTGCAAAACATTACTTAGTACTTGGTGTCAAAACCCTTGTTGGCAATCAGAGGTCAGACGTTTCTTGTAGTTGGCCACCAGGTTTGCCCACATCTCAGGAGGGATTTTGTCCCACTCCTCTTTGCAGATCTTCTCCAAGTCATTAAGGTTTCGAGGCTGACGTTTGGCAACTCGAACCTTCAGCTCCCTCCACAGATTTTCTATGGGATTAAGGTCTGGAGACTGGCTAGGCCACTCCAGGACCTTAATGTGCTTCTTCTTGAGCCACTCCTTTGTTGCCTTGGCCGTGTGTTTTGGGTCATTGTCATGCTGGAATACCCATCCACGACCCATTTTCAATGCCCTGGCTGAGGGAAGGAGGTTCTCACCCAATATTTGACGGTACATGGCCCCGTCCATCGTCCCTTTGATGCGGTGAAGTTGTCCTGTCCCCTTAGCAGAAAAACACCCCCAAAGCATAATGTTTCCACCTCCATGTTTGACGGTGGGGATGGTGTTCTTGGGGTCATTGGCAGCATTGGCAGCATTCCTCCTCCTCCAAACACGGCGAGTTGAGTTGATGCCAAAGAGCTCCATTTTGGTCTCATCTGACCACAACACTTTCACCCAGTTCTCCTTTGAATCATTCAGATGTTCATTGGCAAACTTCAGACGGGCATGCATATGTTCTTTCTTGAGCAGGGGGACCTTGCGGGCGCTGCAGGATTTCAGTCCTTCACAGCGTAGTGTGTTACCAATTGTTTTCTTGGTGACTATGGTCCCAGCTGCCTTGAGATCATTGACAAGATCCTCCCGTGTAGTTCTGGGCTGATTCCTCACCATTCTCATGATCATTGCAACTCCACGAGGTGAGATCTTGCATGGAGCCCTAGGCCGAGGGAGATTGACAGTTCTTTTGTGTTTCTTCCATTTGCGAATAATCACACCAACTGTTGTCACCTTCTCACCAAGCTGCTTGGTGATGGTCTTGTAGCCCATTCCAGCCTTGTGTAGGTCTACAATCTTGTCCCCGACATCCTTAGAGAGCTCTTTGGTCTTGGCCATGGTGGAGAGTTTGGAATCTGATTGATTGATAGCTTCTGTGGACAGGTGTCTTTTATACAGGTAACAAGATGAGATTAAGAGCACTCCCTTTAAGAGTGTGCTCCTAATCTCAGCTCGTTACCTGTATAAAAGACACCTGGGAGACAGAAATCTTTCTGATTGAGAGGGGGTCAAATACAGATTTCCCTCATTAAAATGCAAATCAATTTCTAACATTTTTGACATGCGTTTTTCTGGTTATTCTGTCTCTCACTGTTCAAATAAACCTACCATTAAAATTATAGACTGATCATTTCTTTGTCAGTGGGCAAACGTACAAAATCAGCAGGGGATCAAATACTTATTTCCCTCACTGTAGGTTGTGAGGATAATAGGTGTGATTTGAATTTTGACAGTTTTTTGCATTGCTTTAGTTACTAGTTAGCACAAACTACAGTCAAAGCCAAGTGAAAGAGAGAGGTGTCATCTGGTGTATGGGTGGTCCTCTGTAGCTCAGCTGGTAGAGCACGGCGCTTGTAACGCCAAGGTAGTGGGTTCGATCCCCGGGACCACCCATACACAAAAAAAATTATGCACGCATGACTGTAAGTCGCTTTGGATAAAAGCGTCTGCTAAATGGCATATTATCATTATTATTATTATTATTATTATTATTATTATTATTATTATCTGACACTTAGAAATAACAAACTGAAGCATGCAGTGTGTCCCGGACATCTGTCTATCCCACGATTCCCAGACATCCAGATTTCATCAACGATGATAATGTTAATGATAATAATAATTATTAACAAAAAATTGCTCTAAGCGTTGTCATTTACTACAGCAACTACTCACTTTTCTGCAGAGAATTCTCCTCTCTCTCCGATGTCGGGCTTGTCCTCGACGGGTTTATCGAAGCGGCGCTCGCGTGGGGGTCTCCTGTTTTCCGGCCTCCTCTCGCCGGCGGGCCGCCCTTCGCCCTGCCCGGCCTGGTGCTGGGAGCCAGGTTGGCCCTGCTGGTCCGGCCTCCGGGCCACCCGCCTGATACCTGCCACCACAACAACACATGGAGGCTTTAGAGGTGGACACTGATATGACTACAGAGACTAATTAGAAGGGCGGTGCAACCAAAAACCACTCTTTCAATAATACTTTTTGATTAAAACATGTTTTGGCTTGATAAAGGCTATTGGGGCCAAATCATAATGTTGTAACCAAAAAGTATAATAACATCAAGAGTGGTACTGTGCACGAGTGTCTAGACTAGAGGCGAATTGCATGAGGAACTTCAAGTAAGCATAGATACACACGGCATGGCGTGGCATGGCTTAACGTGACCACGCCCCCGAGTAGGGTACAGCCGTAGGCTGCTCCTGTTACTCCCATGTTCAATTTCCTGCTTAACCCGACAACAGCTGTATTATTTTTATTTGCATTCATTGGGCTCCCGAGTGGCGCAGCGGTCTAAGGCATCTCAGTGCTTGAGGCGTCACTACAGACGCCCTGGTTCGATTCCAGGCTGTATCACAACCGGCCGTGATTTGGAATTCCCATAGGGCGGCGCACAATTGGCCCAGCGTCGTCCGGGTTTGGCCGGTGTAGGCCGTCATTGTAAATAAGAATTTGTTCTTAACTGACTTGCCTAGTTAAATAAAGGTTAACTAAAAAAAATCTATAATCATATTGGATGTGCTTGATTGGTCATTTTTAACATATTTCCATGTCGTCTTAACAAGCTACATCAGGGTTCTTCAATTCCGGTCCTGGAGGGCCGAAACACTTCTGTTTTTAATTTCTACCTGGTAGTTAATTGCACTCACCTGGTGTCCCAGGTCTGAATTAGCCCCTGATTAGAAGGAGAGGATGAAAAACAGAGATGTTTCGGCCCTCCAGGACCGGAATTGAAGAACCCTGAGCTACATCATACCTAAAAACACGTTCATTTTAAAACAAAGAATGTTAGCATGAACAGGTAGACAGTCACATGGAATGTGCGTCACGATTATCAGCCAAAGAGCCGATTCCAACAGACTTTCTTCAATTAGCTAACTAACCCTGCTTTTAAAATGCCGAAAGGCTGTTGCATTACCGCTTTGTTTGAACAATAGTACGAGAAAACACCACAAAATTAAGTTTCATCAACTGCCCAAGGACCAGGTTAGACGAATCTCATGGTTTCAGGCTATTACGCCATGTTGATGGAAAGCTCTGGTTACGCGATACATTTATGTGTGTTCAAGCCGTTCATCACCGGTAAGCCGTTTTGTATAAAGCTTGCTAATTGGCTTGTAGTAAGGCAGGGTCTCAAACCTTTTCTAGCATGAGAGCTACTGGAGAAAAAAATTTAACGTTGCAAGAGACTCATTTTTATCTAGATTTCAAATAGGCACATTCTTCTCTTCTCTCCCCTGGGTCCTTAGTGTACAAGATAAAGTAGTACACTATGTTTTCTGTCAATATACCTGGTAAAATAATGGTTGATAAACATCTAAGAGGGACCCTATAAAATCTGTTTTATATTTTCCCAAATTATGTTCCGAGTTTTATTTTTCCTGGTTTTCGATTTTTTTGTTTTTCACTCTCAAAATTACAATTGTTCATAGAGAAACAATGAAATTGGATGTTATGAGTCCATGCCAATGGTTAAATCACAACAGAATACCATTATATTTGTAGGTCTGGAAGAAAACTAACTAATTTAGATTTTTTTTGTGTAATTCTCCTTTAATTGCGGCTCTGGCCCTTTAATTGCGGCTCTAGCGAGTGAGGAATGTGCTGTCTAATATGCAGGTCTAGCGATGGTTCTGTACGGCTGCTGCTCATTTTAAGGCAAAGTTTGCAAATAACAAATAATAGATACAAATGATATACAGTACTTCCTCATGATATGACTTCTGCCAGGTAAGCCTACTTTGTAGTTAACATTTAATTGAGAAGGTTTTGAGGAAAGTATTTCTGTCAAATCACAAGACGGTTATCACATCAACTGGCTACACACGGAGTGATAGACAAACACGCGCACCACTCAGACAGACGGGCAATATTGCTGGAAATGAATAGGCATTTATTGTGTTCGGTTTGGCTTTTTAAACCAATAGTGGCTAACCAGGGGTGGGATAATGTCAATGTTGTGTTGATTAGCTAGTAGTTGGGAGCTTGCCGTGTCTGATACTTGAGATTTGTTCATGACAGGTTCGGTGGAACGTGAAAATTGCATGTACTTTCATGTACTTTCAGAATTGTTTGGAGAGTTAATCATAGTTGGGCTGCGGGCTACTGGTAGCTGGGGATCAACCTGTTGGAGACCCCTTAAGTAAGGACTATTGAGCTGTATCCGTCCAAATAACAGCTCTAATATTCTTCTGCATTTTGATATTTATGCAAACCTGGAGATTGCACCATGTAGGTGTAGATATCGCCATAGGCTACTTTGATTTGGGCCATTAGGTAGGGTTGTATCTAGTGCTGTCCCCGACAAAAAAAAACCAAAAAAATATTGGTCGACCGAGTCATCTGTTCTAAATGTTAAAACATGTATTTTTCCACATATAGACACGACCTGTGTTTCAATAAAATCAACTATTACTGAACAAAAATATAAACACAACATGTAAAGTGAGCTTCTCTGATGCTTTAAGCGCACTGTTTGATTAAATAATTAAGACACACAAATTACTCAAGAGATGGTCATGCTGTGTAAACATTTTTTAAATGACAGCGAGTGCCTGTGTGACTAGCGCACGTTGTCTCTCTCCTCCCTGCTGCAGCGAACAGGCACCACAGGACAGCAAGTGTTTATCGCACTGTCCGTGCTGAAGCTGCAACTTAATTACAGCCATTTCGTTTCTTACTTGTTTCTCTGACTGAAAAGTTGTTACTGAAATACCTCATTTGTTTAGGAAAAACATTCCCTCAACCCTTGCTCTCTTTATGTGAAACATCTACGCATTGCATGCACGTGACCAATAGGGCCTGACCTATAGCCTATCATAATGACATCAATAAATTGGTTATAACAAACGCCGAACACCGTAGCAGCAAAATGGATGCAGAGGTCAGAGGACATGAAAAATAAACTCGAAACGGGGGAATGTTTACTGGTTGCTCAGGAGGGAAAGGGGAAGTCAGATGTGTGGAAGACATTTTACTTAGTTGTGGAAACTATTGGTGATCAAGAAAAAGGAGGGTATAGGACAGGGTTCTTCAATTCCGGTCCTGGAGGTGCCGAAACACCTCTGTTTTTCATCCTCTCCTTCTAATCAGGGGCTAATTCAGACCTGGGACACCAGGTGAGTGCAATTAACTACCAGGTAGAAATAAAAAACAGAAGTGTTTCGGCCCTCCAGGACCGGAATTGAAGAACCCTGGTATAGGAGCAAGCGCTATGTGAGTATTGTGTGCCAAACAGGTGCAGTAAGATTACAATATGATACGAACAGTGTAAACCCTGAATAAATTATAAATGTACCGAAAAAGTATGTTCTAACGGGAAAGAAAATAAATATAGACTTTATTACAGCAAAGACTAAAAACAGTTGCATGCATTCATGAATTGCGGTTTATTTATTGTTTAGGCTAATCATCCAAAACTCCCTTTTGTTATTTCATTTTAAAACTAAAATGCTCGATTGCATTTTCAAAGCATGAATTACTTGTATGCTGTGTGATGACATGAAGGAATTAATGATTGATTGATATTGAAATATTAGGCCTAAGTAAGTTACGGTATTAGGACTAAACAGGACGCGCTCTTTGGCCTACAGCTCAATGGTGGTTATACAAGGCTGCTATACTAAGCCTACTAATGATAATGACATCACTTATTATAATGATGATCATAATAATAACAACAACAATAAGGAGATCAAGAAAGAGGGTATAGGAGTGAGAGCTGCGTGCATATTTTGTGTAACAAACAGGTGCTGTTTACATTTTAGTCATTTAGCAGACGCTCTTATCCAGAGCGACTTACATGAGCAATTGGGGTTAAGTGCCTTGCTCAAGGGCACGTTGACAGATTTTTCACCTAGTCGGCTCGGGGATTAGAACCAGCGACCTTTCGGTTACAGGCACAACGCTCTTAACCACTAAGCTACCTGCCGCCCCTGTTAGATTACAATACTATTTTCTACCCCTTGGGAACAGTGTGTTCTAATGAAAACAACATTGAAAAAGCCTTTTATTACAGCATAGCAAAGATTAAAAACTGCTGAATTTGTGAAATTGCTTTATCCGACATTTTGTGGTTGCCTGAGGCTTGGTGCTCATGGAATCACTAGGCTATTAAACAAACACTCAAACTGGAAACAGAAGCAGGATATGTCTTATTTCTGTAGATCTATATGGATGATTTAAAAGCCAGGCACGTTTAACAGTTAGGCTATTGATTATAGACCTAATTAAGTTGGGATTTCCTCTCTCCTCACTTCTCTTAGACAATTAAGGCAAGGGCTGTTTTCTCGTCTCCTGACTTAGCTGCTGCCTCCCATACATTGTTCTCAACACCAATATGCTGCTTAACTTCGCTATTATGCACTTAGCAACATATAGGGAAAGGCGCCAATTCAACGGCGCACTGAAGACTGTTTCAGAACCGCGGACGGCGACCGCTATCCATCGCGGGACAAAGCGCATTTTGTTCTAAAATAATATGTATTAGTGTTGCACCATTATTCTTACATAATATAACCATTTACAATTTCAGTAGCACATGTCTTAGAGTGATGGACTGTGCCATCACTGTGGCCTCCAAAGGATTAGTCCACTGAAACAGGCGCCAATCAGACAGGTGTCTTGTGCACCGTGAAACAAACTAAATCATTTGTGACAGCTCGACTAAAGAAATCTGGGTTGACCAACAGCCTTTCGACTAAACAATCGACTAAATGGGATCAGCCCTAGGTATCCCCATCTGGTCTCCAGCAAGTTGAAAGGTCATATAGGCCTGCCAACAACAATCTACTTTTCTAAATACCTAGACCGTTCAAGGGTAGGCAAAGACTGGAAGTAGTTACGCGACATATCTAAGACTAGCAAATTAGCCTAGATCGAGATGAACTTCTCTCACTAGCCAGCCAGCTAACGTCAGCTAACCGGCGAAAAAGCTAGGGGTAAACAAACAGTGATGTAAGTATAATGCGACAGCTTTACTGTAGGTCTTAGCAGGGTTGGACAACAAATTAGAGTGACTGAATAAGTATCATGCAAATAATTTGTTGTTGTGACAGCCAAGTATGTTAATAACGACAAGTGCGGCTGCTGAAAACGTTTATTGAAACGACAAAAAAGTGTCAGTAGTTTGCTTTGGATGATGCCAAAGGTAGCCTAATTACATGGGAGTAACAGGAGTACCCTATGCCTGTACCCTACTCGGGGGCGTGGTCACATTAAGCCTTTCCATGTGTATCTATTTAAAGATGCACTATGCAGAAATCGCTCCGACATTTCCTGGTTGCAATTTTTTAAATAGTCTGCCTAATTTCAGTATGTGACAAAACAAGCAAATATAGTTTAGATAATTATTGTACCATCTAAACCATTGAGAAATACATTTTCCATAACCAAAAATATTGTTTTTAGCGGTTTGAAGTACAAAACTGAAAGTAAAAGAGGCACAATCTAAATTTAAAAACAGAAAGCATAGAAATAAAGCACATAGAAAAGATCCACTGCTTCTTAGACTTGCTTTCAATGAGAATATTTAATGACAGATTTATAACTAACATTTATATGTGAATTTGGTCGGGTCGCCCAAAAAGTTACATATTGTAGCTTTAACAACATGAAATATGGGCCTGCTGTCAGCAAAGATGTTAGATTACTCCAGCGGAAGTTGCTTAGCTATTTCATGAGGGTGTTGTGTTAGCTAGCTACATCCTGTCATTATTACTTTGACAGCATGCACTCTTGACTACTGGCTAACACACCTTCCTTCAATGCATTTAGCTAGTGCTAATATTTCGAGGGGGCTTAGTTAGCTACTTGTGTTGTGGTGGACATCTGGCCAGATGCACTCGTTTACAAAAACATTGCGCATGCATGTCGAGGAAATCTTACAAGTAGCTTGTTAGCTAGAAAGTTAAGTACAGTAACATTATCTGTTTAGAAAAGCTTCTGAGCAGATGAAAACAAACGCCATCACGCTAGTTACACTGTCATAACACTTCACTGCATAAACCGTTTGAATACGCTAGCTACATGAAAACAGTGCTATGCAATAACTGGATAGCCAACTTGCACTGTTTTATTTGTGTTGGCCAGTTTCTAGCTACCAAATACTAAAACAACAACCACCTGCACCGGACATTGGTTGGCTAGGTCGCCCGAACTACCTAGTTACAGCATCACGCACCGGCCTTAACGTTCAGCTCGACATTTCTGACAGTTCAGTATCCGTGTTGTTTTGAAGAATAGCTAGTTAACTACGCAGCAAGCTAGCTTGTCCCGCAAATCCCTAGGAGAGCCAGCTAGCTTTTTATTCTGCTAAGAAATAATCTAGTTTGAATATGCCCACCAAGCTCGAGCTGTTTCACAACAAAAACATTATCATGCGCAGCAACCACAGCGCCATCATCTACAAAGTCCACATCCTGCAGGTGGAATGGATTTCAGCGAGAGGCTAGCCAGAGTGCACAGGTGGATGCTATCCAATGCATGATTAACCTGTCTAACAATCATGCATTGGATATGTGCATGTTCGCAGTTGGTTATTCTGTTGCCCTCTAAATTGATCGCAACAGGACAGAACCCATGTTGACCCTGATCATGTTGTTGTTAGCAAATTGGCTAGGTTTGTGCAGGTTTTGAAATAAATGCACCACCAATTTGTCAGCGTGCAACCTTACCTTCTTTCTTCAGAGGTACTGCAGCCTGTGTTTCATCTTTCTTGTCAAAGAGCGGATTCTTCCTGTCCTTCTGTGACTCCTTCTTGGGCTGCTTGGCGGCTTGGGCTGCAGACTTGGTGATACCAGCTGCGGCCGCCTCTTTCTTCTTATTCTCCGCCGCCTTTAACACCTCGAACGGGTCTGATTCATCGTCCAATAGCTGGTCGAACCGATTGGTTACGACGCAGCCGAAGCTTTCTTGCAGATGTCCGGGCATGATCGCGCCCCTTCAGCGGAATTTCACCTCCGATTCTACGAGGCTTGGTGCGAACAATTCGCTAGATACGGCCACAAGATGGCTGGGAAATGTACCTCTTCTCTTCCGGCGCGAGGAATATCCGGGATATTCAGTAGCGCGATATGGGGAATGTAGTCGTCTAGCCCAGTGTTTCCCAAACTCGGTCCTGCCCCCCCCCCCCCCCCTGCTTGTAAACAAATGCAAATGTTATCGTGTCAGGTGACGACTGTTTGATTATTCATAGATGTCATTAGCCATTAAATAATATTGCTATTAAAATGCATGTTCATTGACAAAAAACCAAATGCCTATGCACTGTTGACTGGTTAAGAAATACACCGATGACCGATACATCTCTTTATTGCCTTATGTTTACATGCTTTATATGCAGTTAATGCTTTTCACTAAATTTTGAGAGAGAGGGAGAGAGAGAGAGAGAGAGAGAGAGAGAGAGAGAGAGAGAGAGAGGAGAGAGAGAGAGAGAGAGAGAGGAGAGAAGAGAGAGGAGAGAGAGAGAGAGAGAGAGAGAGAACCTTCCAAGTGAAACATTTCCACATTCCAATGTACAGCTGCTCTCTGTGTGAGCTAGTGCACATCTTGATGATTAAGGAGGATTTTAACTGTTTATAAAAAGCAGCAAATAAAAGTGTGTGGGGAGGGCAGGCAGGGGTCATGTAGTAAAACAGCTGGTAGTGTCATACAGCTGTCTATCTGACGAGACACTTCTGTTGTAGCCTATCAGGGCAGTTTGGGAACTAAACCATCAAGCCATATACACAGCTGTTGAATACATGGTCACACATTTGATGCCAAGTTCATATTGCTTTTTTTTTCTTCTCCATTTTCTGTTCTAAGAGTACAATATATACACTATCTTTGTAATAGTGCTGGGAGGAATCATATTTCCTGCTGTTGTACATACAGCATGTCTACTACAGAGTCGTAACAATGCAAGGGCAACACACTCACCACTAAATAGTGACAAGGCAATTTGGCAAGCAAATGCCTCTCCTGGTAATGCCCAAAAGTGGTTTCAATTAAATTAGAGCCATGCACAATATCAGTGACACTACGAGCATCTAAGACCAATAAACATATTGGAAGTACAGTGGGGAAAAAAAGTATTTAGTCAGCCACCAATTGTGCAAGTTCTCCCACTTAAAAAGATGAGAGAGGCCTGTAATTTTCATCATAGGTACATGTCAACTATAACAGACAAAATGAGAAAAAGAAATCCAGAAAATCACATTGTAGGATTTTTTATGAATTTATTAGCAAATTATGGTGGAAAATAAGTATTTGGTCAATAACAAAAGTTTCTCAATACTTTGTTATATACCCTTTGTTGGCAATGACACAGGTCAAACGTTTTCTGTAAGTCTTCACAAGGTTTTCACACACTGTTGCTGGTATTTTGGTCCATTCCTCCATGCAGATCTCCTCTAGAGCAGTGATGTTTTGGGGCTGTCGCTGGGCAACACGGACTTCAAAGATTTTCTATGGGGTTGAGATCTGGAGACTGGCTAGGCCACTCCAGGACCTTGAAATGCTTCTTACGAAGCCACTCCTTCGTTGCCCGAGCGGTGTGTTTGGGATCATTGTCATGCTGAAAGACCCAGCCATGTTTCATCTTCAATGCCCTTGCTGATGGAAGGAGGTTTTCACTCAAAATCTCACGATACATGGCCCCATTCATTCTTTCCTTTACACGGATCAGTCGTCCTGGTCCCTTTACAGAAAAACAGCCCCAAAGCATGATGTTTCCACCCCCATGCTTCACAGTAGGTATGGTGTTCTTTGGATGCAACTCAGCATTCTTTGTCCTCCAAACACGACGAGTTGAGTTTTTACCAAAAAGTTCTATTTTGGTTTCATCTGACCATATGACATTCTCCCAATCCTCTTCTGGATCATCCAAATGCACTCTAGCAAACTTCAGACAGGCCTGGACATGTACTGGCTTAAGCAGGGGGACACGTCTGGCACTGCAGGATTTGAGTCCCTGGCGGCGTAGTGTGTTACTGATGGTAGGCTTTGTTACTTTGGTCCCAGCTCTCTGCAGGTCATTCACTAGGTCCCCCCGTGAAGTTCTGGGATTTTTGCTCACCGTTCTTGTGATCATTTTGACCCCACGGGGTGAGATCTTGCGTGGAGCCCCAGATCGAGGGAGATTATCAGTGGTCTTGTATGTCTTCCATTTCCTAATAATTGCTCCCACAGTTGATTTCTTCAAACCAAGCTGCTTACCTATTGCAGATTCAGTCTTCCCAGCCTGGTGCAGGTCTACAATTTTGTTTCTGGTGTCCTTTGACAGCTCTTTGGTCTTGGCCATAGTGGAGTTTGGAGTGTGACTGTTTGAGGTTGTGGACAGGTGTCTTTTATACTGATAACAAGTTCAAACAGGTGCCATTAATACAGGTAACGAGTGGAGGACAGAGGAGCCTCTTAAAGAAGAAGTTACAGGTCTGTGAGAGCCAGAAATCTTGCTTGTTTGTAGGTGACCAAATACTTATTTTCCACCATAATTTGCAAATAAATTCATTAAAAATCCTACAATGTGATTTTCTGGATTTTTTTTCCTCAATTTGTCTGTCATAGTTGACGTGTACCTATGATGAAAATTACAGGCCTCTCTCATCTTTTTAAGTGGGAGAACCTGCACAATTGGTGGCTGACTAAATACTTTTTTCCCCCACTGTATCTGCGTCATGTTGGAACCAGCATTATAGCTGATGTATTTCTCTTTAGACCTACTGTATATGGTGCACATCTGACTTAAGACCTGTTTTAGTAGAGGGAGGGATATTACTCATAGATTAACTTCACTGTTCAAAATGCTGTTATTCGTTGTTAAGTGAGACACCATCCATCACCACAACTATTCTTCATCTTTTATGAATGAAGTAACATGACAAAATAAACACAAATGATAACTGGCTTGACGTAATTGGCGTTGGCCAAAGGAAACCACACCACTCAAATAACCCTAATCATGTCCCATAAGGCCACACCACACCGTAGCAGCCTGTGTGTAACATGATAAAGCTATCAGGTAAAGACATGGCTAGTATTTTAGTTACACCAGTGAGCTAGGCTATTTCAGCTCACATGCTCAGCAATACAGACTACACCAACTGTTGCTGCTCTGTAGACCCATTGCAACCTGTGAAATATCCATTTGAACACATTTGAATATAACAATGTTGATTTCAGATTGAAATACAATTGGAAATGGTTGTCTATGAATACTTCGATGAGATTGAACAAGTATGCAAGACAATAATGTGAAGCCAAAGTCATGTACAGTCAGCATTGGATAGAAGAGTGGTGGTACTAGATAACATTTTTGTTCAAACAAATTAAAGGAGTAATGCAGAGATGCGCAAAAATCGTTCATTTTAAACGTACATTTTAATAAAAGTTCAACAGCTCACAAGTAGTTATTCATCTTGCCATAAGGCAGCACTGTGAACCTAACACTCACAGAAAAGGAATGCTTTGATATCATTTTTCTCATTTTGGTCAAGTTATTACCATGTGTGCTTTACGATTCACAAAGGCCACCACAGTCTAGAGCCATCACATTTAGGTCATAGAGTTAGCAGCAGGAATTTACAGCCTAGTCTGTGACAATAACAAATGTCCCCTATTAAATTCAATTTTAATAGCATTTCTGTATAGGTGCTATTTGGAACCAGAAAGAGTTCTATCTGATCTTAAATGGTTCTATCTGGAACCTTTTTTTCAGAGGATTCCCCCATTGTCTTACGTCAGATAGCGCGACGATTCCACCTGCACTGATCGGTTGAGGGGACAAGCGTTGCGTAGGAGTGACGCCCTCTGACGTAAGACAATGAGAGTGTAGTGCCTCATGGCCGTCGTCAATTTATACAGAACATACCATTTCCTTCCATTGACACATGAGTAAAACCGTTTCATCCGTATAGATTCTATGTTATAGAATAAAAGTTGAGTGATTAAACTAGTCAGTCAAGGTGAATAGCCACTACTCTGTCTGGTGGAGGTACTTTTTGTAGGCTTGTTTATCGTCATCCTCTTCTTTCAATCTCTTACGCATAGCCTTTTCAATCTCCAGCAGTTTCACATACAGGGCCTCTGACATGTCGTCGTCCATGTCCATCTGAAAAACACAAAACAGCAAAGCCATGGAAGAACAACCTAGATAACGTCCCCTTTTAAACCTAAACCTAACACTATAACATAACATAAAAACGTCTAGATAAGCTTTTTTCTTTCAAATATAATTTGTTTCAAAAATGTATTTGTATTTATTATGGATCCCCATTAGCTGCTGCACTCTTCCTGGGGTCCAGCCAAATTAAGGCAGTTATACAATTTTAAAAACATTACAATACATTCACAACAGATTTCACAACGTATTAAGTGTGTGCCCTCAGGCCCCTACTCTACTACCACGTATCTATAACACAAAATCCATGTGTACGTGTGTGTACAGTGCGTGTGTGAACCTAAAGCTAGGACATCGGCCCTATCAGGCTGAAACAGTAATATAGAACCTGTTCACACCTTCACAGATGTTTTATCTTAGGCCTAGCGTTCCAAAACTTTCTACGAGACACACTCACTTGTCGAGGCTGCGTGTAGTTGCTCCCCATGCCTGACGTCAAACTGTGGTACTTTGCTCTCGGATCCAGGGACTCCGGTTTTTGCAGAAACAGCGAGTGCTGTAAAAGACGGGATGACATTTCCGATTATGAAAAATCACTCAAAGGAATTAGTATAAAAAAATGTTAAGCTGTTGAGAGTGACATACAGTGAGGGAAAAAAGTATTTGATCCCCTGCTGATTTAGTACGTTTGCCCACTGACAAATAAATAATCAGTCTATAATTTTAATGGTAGGTTTATTTTAACAGTGAGAGACAGAATAACAACAAAAAAATCCAGAAAAACGCATGTCAAAAATGTTATAAATTGATTTGCATTTTAATGAGGGAAATAAGTATTTGACCCCTCTGCAAAACATGACTTAGTACTTGGTGGCAAAACCCTTGTTGGCAATCACAGAGGTCAGACGTTTCTTGTAGTTGGCCACCAGGTTTGCGCACATCTCAGGAGAGATTTTGTCCCAATCCTCTTTGCAGATCTTCTCCAAGTCATTAAGGTTTCGAGGCTGACGTTTGGCAACTCGAACCTTCAGCTCCCTCCACAGATGTTCTATGGGATTAAGGTCTGGAGACTGGCTAGGCCACTCCAGGACCTTAATGTGCCTCTTCTTGAGCCACTCCTTTGTTGCCTTGACCGTGTGTTTTGGGTCATTGTCATGCTGGAATACCCATCCACGACCCATTTTCAATGCCCTGGCTGAGGGAAGGAGGTTCTCACCCAAGATTTGACGGTACATGGCCCCGTCCATCGTCCCTTTGATGCGGTGAAGTTGTCCTGTCCCCTTAGCAGAAAAACACTCCCAAAGCATAATGTTTCCACCTCCATGTTTGACGGTGGGGATGGTGTTCTTGGGATCATAGGCAGCATTCCTCCTCCTCCAAACACGGCGAGTTGAGTTGATGCCAAATAGCTCGATTTTGGTCTCATCTGACCACAACACTTTCACCCAGTTCTCCTCTGAATCATTCAGATGTTCATTGGCAAACTTCAGACAGGCCTGTATATGTGCTTTCTTGAGCAGGGGGAACTTGCAGGCGCTGCAGGATTTCAGTCCTTCACGGCGTAGTGTGTTACCAATTGTTTTCTTGGTGACTATGGTCCCAGCTGCCTTGAGATCATTGACAAGATCCTCCCGTGTAGTTCTGGGCTGATTCCTCACCTTTCTCATGATCATTGCAACTCCCCGAGGTGAGATCTTGCATGGAGCCCCAGGCCGAGGGAGATTGACAGTTCTTTGTGTTTCTTCCATTTGCGAATAATCGCACCAACTGTTGTCACATTCTCACCAAGCTGCTTGGCGATGGTCTTGTAGCCCATTCCAGCCTTGTGTAGGTCTATAATCTTGTCCCTGACATCCTTGGAGAGATCTTTGGTCTTGGCCATGGTGGAGAGTTTGGAATCTGATTGATTGATTGCTTCTGTGGACAGGTGTCTTTTATACAGGTAACAAACTGAGATTAGGAGCACTCCCTTTAAGAGCGTGCTCCTAATCTCAGCTCGTTACCTGTATAAAAGACACCTGGGAGCCAGAAATCTTTCTGATTGAGAGGTGGTCAAATACTTATTTCCCTCATTAAAATGCAAATCAATTTATAAAAATTGTTACATGCGTTTTTCTGGTAATCCCATGAATACCCAGTGCCGTCTGAATACCCTGTGGCGTCTGAATACCCAGTGGCGTCTGAATACCCAGTGGCGTCTGAATACCCAGTGCTGTCTGAATACCCAGTGCCGTCTGAATACCCAGTGGCGTCTGAATACCCAGTGCTGTCTGAATACCCAGTGCCGTCTGAATACTCAGTGCCGTCTGAATACCCAGTGCCATCTGAATATCCAGTGCCGTCTGAATACCCATTGCCGTCTGAATAGCCAGTGCTGTCTGAATACCCAGTGCCGTCTGAATACCCAGTGCCGTCTGAATATCCAGTGCCATTTGTACTGGTGCATCAAGGCTCAGACCAAAATAATCCTAAACAGCTTCTATTTATATATTCCTGCTATCAGTCACTTTTCAGCCCTGTTTATTTGTACAGTGCATTCGGAAAGTATTCTGACCGCTTCACTTTTTCCACATTTTGTTAAGTTACAGCCATATTCTAAAATCGATTAATCAAACGTTTTTCCTCATCAAGCTACACACAATACCCCATAATGACAAAGCGAAAACAGGTTTTTATAAATGTTTGCACATCTTTCTATTCTGGTTAGGGCCAGTTTGTGCTGTTCTGTGAAGGGAGTAGTACACAGCGTTGTACGAGATCTTCAGTTTCTTGGCAATTTCTCGCATGGAATAGCCAAGAATAGACTGATGAGTTGCAGAAGAAAGTTCTTTGTTTCTGGCCATTTTGAGCCTGTAATCGAACCCACAATTGCTGATGCTCCAGATACTCAACTAGTCTCAAGAAGGCCATTTTTATTGCTTCTTTAATCAGCACAACCGTTTTCAGCTGTGCTAACATAATTGCAAAAGGGTTTTCTAATGATCAATTAGCCTTTTAAAATGATAAACTTGGATTAGCAAACACAACGTGCCATTGGAACACAGGACTGATGGTTGCTGATAATGGGCCTCTGTACGCCTATGTCGATATTCCATAAAAAATCAGCCGTTTCCAGCTACAATAGCCATTTACAACATTAACAATGTCTACACTGTATTTCTGATCAATTTGATGTTATTTTAATGGACAAAAAATTGGATTTTCTTTCGAAAACAAGGACATTTCTAAGTGACCCCAAACTTTTGAACGGTAGTATTTAGACCCTTTGCTATGAGACTCGAAATTGAGCTCAGGTGCATCCTGTTTCCATTGATCATCCTTGAGATGTTTCTACAACTTGATTGGAGTCCATGATTTGAAAAGGAACACACCTGTCTATTTTGGGTCCCACAATTGACAGTGCATGTCAGAGCAAAAACCAAGTGATGAGGTCGAAAGAATTGTCTGTAGAGCTCCGAGACAGGATTGTGTCGAGGCACAGATCTGGGGATGGGCACCAAAATAATTCTGCAGCATTGAAGGTCCCCAAGAACACAGTGGCCTCCATCATTCTTAAATGGAAGAAGTTTGGAACCACCAAGACTCTTCCTAGAGCTGGCCGCCCGGCCAAACTGAGCAATCGGGGGAGAAGGGCCTTGGTCAGGGAGGTGACCAAGAACCCGATGGTCACTCTGACAGAGCTCCAGAGTTCCTCTGTGGAGATTGGAGAACCTTCCAGAAGGACAACAATCTCTGCAGCACTCCACCAATCAGGCCTTTATGGTAGAGTGGCCAGATGGAAGCCACTCCTCAGTAAAAGGCACATGACAGCCCGCTTGGAGTTTGCCAAAAGGCACCTAAAGACTCTCAAACCATGAGAAACAAGATTCTCTGGTCTGATGAAACCAAGATTGAACTCTTTAGCCTGAATTGCAGGGACTGGGAGACTAGTTAGGATCGAGGCAAAGATGAACAGAGCAAAGTACAGAGAGATCCTTGATGAAAACCTGCTCCAGAGCGCTCAGGACCTCAGGCTGGGGCAAAGCTTCACCTTCCAACAGGACAACGACCCTAAGCACACAGCCAAGACAACAAGACAACACAGGAGTGGCTTCGGGACAAGTCTCTGAATGTCCTTGAGCGGCCCAGCCAGAGCCTGGACTTGAACCCGATCGAACATCTCCGGAGAGACCTAAAAATAGCTGTGCAGCGACGCTCCCCATCCAACCTGACAGAGCTTGAGAGGATCTGCAGAGAAGAATGGGAGGAACTCCCCAAATACAGGTGTGCCAAGCTTGTAGCGTCATACCCAAGAAGATCTGAGGCTGTAATCGCTGCAAAAGGTGCTTCAACAAAGTAAAAAACTGTTTTTGCTTTGTCATTATGGTTTCCCGGACACAGATTAAGCCTGGTCCTGGACTAAAAAGCCATTTCAATGGAGATTCTCCACTGTGCATGCTTTTAAGTCGAGGGCTATGCTGTGTATGGGAAACCAACCCACAAAGATATATCACAAACTGTCAATATGTAAATAATACATATCTGAACTGTTTAGACTAGTTTCTGCGACACGTACCAAGGCTCCTGCTCCATTGTATGGTGTCAGTGTGAAAGTGTTGGTGAAGATTCTTATCTGTTCATGAAGACAAACATGTTGAGTAACAATACAAGTCTATGCAAATCTGCTTTTCTGGGAAAATCACAAGACCACAACAAATAATGTCAATACAATACTACCGTTACAGTAAGGTACTTACAAATAATGTCAATACAGTAAAAGAGTAAAAGAAGACTAAAGAGTAAAACCAACTTACGAGATACATGATAGGCATGATGAGGGTCCAGAAGAAGGAGGGGAGGATTCCATAGGTCAGATTGGTCATCACCAGCCCTGGACAAATCACTGACGAGTACAGCCCCTGTCAATCATGTAAAACATGTACCCTTATTGGTTATCAGATACATGACCTGAATATATGAGGTAGAGTTTTACTAAATACTGTATAAGTGTCATGAAGCTTGACATTATGAACAATGACAGAGGACAGCATTGAGGATTTAGCATAGACAATCCACTCTCTCACCAAGTCAGGACCTAGAATGGATCCGCCACAACCCACCAGTGGCTCCTGACCTACCATTAGGCAAGCACTGCTATGTACAACTGAGTGAATGTGTACCTCACCCAATACACATCTCTTGCCAGGACCCAAAATGGATCAGCCACAGTCCGCCAGTTTCTCCTGATTTACCAATAAGGGAACACTGCCATGTGCAACTGAATAAGCATGTGGCTCACCTGGCTGTTTGTTGAGGGCCAGGTTAAAAATCAGGAACTAAAATGGATCTTGCCATAACCCACCAGTGGCTCCCGACCTACCATTAGGCAAGCACTGCTATGTGCAACTGAGTGATCATTTTGGCTCACCTGGCTGTTGTTGTGTCTGTTGAGGGCCAGGCTGAGGAGGTCAGAGGCATACTTGGAGGAGGCGTAGGGCTCGGTCCCCCTTCTATGCTGGACATCGTCTAGACTGAAGGCCGAGCGTCTGGCATTGCTGGATGAAGTCCACACTAACCGGGAGGTCTGACCTGCTTGGCACAGGACTGGCTCTAACTCCCTGACCTGGACCACAGGGACAGATAATATGACATCATGTTACGGAGGGACAGATAACCTGGACCAAAGAGACAGGTGAGATTATTTTCTCATATAGAGGTTTTATTTTGACTTGACTTTTTCTTTGTTGTCCTTTTGTCTTTGTCTATTGTGGGTATGAATAAATAAAATAAGATAAGTAAGAATAATAATAAATAATAATAAAATAAAGTTGTCACTTGGGAATCAAGAAATATGATGAGTGAAACTACGTAAATCAGAATGACCTCATGAACTATAAAAAACGAGAACGGCACATGATGGTAAACGTTGCTACTGAATGCCTGGTTAGATTCAATTCCAGCCCTTGCCTGTCATCTGCCGTACCTCTCACTGAGACCCAGTCCAAGGGACTAGACAGTAAGGTGCATGGACGGTGCGGCGTGGAAACAAAATGGACAAGATGGAAACAAAGATGTTTAATGGTTAATGTTGTGAATCTCTAGCCGTTACATTGAGCTGGGTATCAATTTACCTTTGGCTGTGAACAGCAGCTGGGTTTCTTAGAGTTTCCGATATCTTTGTGCTTTTTGCTTTCTTCACCATGTGACCATGAAACATGACCTAACCAGGGAAAACTCCAGGACCTATACCCTAGTTGTACCTGGAGGTAAGGGAAAACTCCAGGCCCTATATCCTAGTTGTAACTGGAGGTAAGGGAAAATTCCAGGCCCTATACCCTAGTTGTAACTGGGGCCCTGGTCAGGTTACCTGGGCAAGGAAAAACTCCTGGTCCTTATGTTTTAATTTCCAGGCTCTGTTTCCATTTGAGACAAACCTCTCTCTGTTGAGAAATGTTACCATAAGATAAGATCAGATAAGACGTGACTCACCAGCATGAAGTGACCGAAGAGGTTTGTGGCGAACACTTCCTGTAGACCGTCTTTGTTGACACGGTCCTGCTGGGTCAGGAGGCCCTCTGCTGTGGCAAACATGTTGACGGCGTTGCTGCAGCACAAAGATGACATCACATCAGAGCCAGTGGTGGAAAAAGTACCCAATTGTCATACTTGAGTAAAAGTATAGATACCTTAATAGAATGCTACTCAAGTAAAATACTACTTGAGTAAAAGTCTAAAAGTATTTGGTTCTAAATATACTTAAGTTTCAAAAGTAAAAGTATAAATCATTTCAAATTCCTTTTATTAAGCAAAGCAGACGGCACCATTTTCTTGTTTTTAAAATTTACGGATAGCCAGGGGCACACTCCAACACTCAGACATAATTTACAAAAGATGCATTTGTGTTTGGTGAGTCCGCCAGATCAGAGGCAGAAGGGATGACCATGTGTTGTCTTGATAAGTGCGTGAATTTGACCATTTTCCTGTCCTGCTAAGCATTCAAAATGTAACGAATACTTTTGGGTGTCAGGTAAAATGTATGGAGTAAAAAGTACATTATTATCTTTAGGAATGTAGTGAAGTAAAAGTTGTCAAAAATATAAATAGTAAAGTAAAGTACAGATACCCCCAAAAACGACTTAAATAGTACTTTAAAGTATTTTTACTTAAGTACTTTACACCACTGCTTAATATACTTGTCCAATACATCACTTCATACTAGGTGGTACACACATTTTGATATTGGAACAGAGCTCATATTACTGACCCATGCTGGCGATGAGTTGAGAGATGACTTGAAGGTTACCTTGAACCTTACCTAGAAAATAGGCCCTTGAAAAAAGCTTTAACGTCAATCTGTGGATTGGGCATGATCCCGGCATTAAGGTATAGGTAGTCCAGTCTGTTGTACCTGTGGAATTAGTATTAGTAAAAGTATTTATTGATGTCACATCAAACAGGATGTAGAGTGTGTATAACGCTTCAATCACACCGACTGCGTCATTGCATTTGGGTCACCAGAAGTACATTCATTTCCAATGGAACGATGCGTTTGCCTTGCAGCATTGTGTTGCAGAGGCAGTTGCAGTGCATTCTGTGTGGTGCATACGTTAAGATTTATCTAATGTATGCATCAAACTGTATGCGTAGACGGCTTGACAGAAATGGTAACAGAAGGTGAATGTTGAACTTTTGTTGTACACATATCCAGATGATGCTGCGTACCATTTGGCGCAATGACGCTGTCGGTGTGATCGAGACGTAAGGTTGTGTGTGTGTGTGTGTGTGTGTGTGTGTGTGTGTGTGTGTGTCTATGAGTATGTGTGTGAGGGGGTAATAACTATTACTACCACTGTGTGGCAGCGCTGAGCACCGAGCGGACAGAGCCCACGTCCAGGTGTGTGTGTGTGTGTGTGTGTTGTGTCTGTGACGGGTTAACAGGTCAATGGTCTGATGGTCTATACCTAGCCTTGACCTCGTGGGCGGCGCAGAGCACCGAGCGGACAGAGCCCACGTCCAGGTGCAGCAGGTCTATGTGGGCATCGGGGTGAGAGGTCAGTAAGGCGGAGCGGGCAGCCTCGGCCCTCTGCATGTTCCTGCAGGCCAGACACAGCTGCAGCCCAGCGTCCTCACAGAGCAGGCGCTCACACAGGGCCAGGCCGATACCACTGTGGAGATGGAGAGGACATAGGAGAGGACATAAAGGAGAAGCATATGGGCTTCTACTCTCCAGCGGACACACACACTTATGTACACACACACACACACACACACACACACACACACACACACACACACTTATGTACATGATGCACACATGCATACACACAGACACTCCATACTGCTACATAAATGCTTATTTCAATTCTATAGGTCAACTGTTATTACACAGTCAGTGGACAATCAGTGTATCACAGTCGGCTTAAGGATTAGACTGAATGACGACAAGCTATATAAGAGGGCTTGTGATTTACTGTGTAAACGTGCATGCATTGCTATAGCTTCACTACATGTGAAGCAAGTCAAGTGAATGGAACTTACCAGTTGCCAAACACAGCAACTCTCTGTCATTACAACGTAATATATTACAATATAGCAAGTGGACACACGTTCTTTAGAAAAATGTCTGACCCATATTGACTTTTTTCAACGCATATTAAATCGCTGACATGCAGTGATATGCAACATTGTATCGCTCTAATAATGAATTTATCGTAGGGGTCGTAACATTCATTAACTGACAATGACGGTCAACCTATTTAGGAATAATGTACGTACCTATTCGCACCAGTCACTAAAATCACTTTCTCCATGATGGCTCTTCTTCAATAGTGTGAAAATGGTAAAAGGTGAACTATAGCAGAAAATAATACTATGAAATGTACAACCCTCTCGTCCGATTATATGAACACAACCGTAGCCTATGCAGACACCTCTATGTGGTGTGATTGGATGACGACACAGCACTATTGGCCAATTAGATTTAACTACAGAGAGCGAAGAGGATCATGCTTCCCAAGCAGCGGAGAGCTTGAAAATCTCGAATGTGGTTGTACAGGAGTCTGTTGTACAGGGGAGAGGGGCAGGCAGTGGGAAGACACTTTCATCGTTTCCAAGTCTTGTTTAATTTCAAGATCTAGAAACAAGTTAAAGAGATCAAATAGAAATGTAGAACAAATGTGGAATGCAAAATATGTTTTAATTTATGATCAAAATGTTTTCTTTGTTGCACAATTTGGGTTTGAGCTACATTATCACTGTGTGGCTAATGCACTTTTATTGAAAAGTAGGCACATTTTTTTGCATGTTATACTTAGTGCCCCTTTGATTTTTCATTTTCAATTTTGCTTTGTATGTAGGTATGTTAGCCTGGTTACCAGTATGTTTAGCTAACATTCCATCCTTACTCCATGTCATGTTCCATTAGCATGTGCCATTTAGCAATGGCACTGAGTACAAGGAGTGGAACGTTAGCTAAACTGACTGGTACCCAGGCTTATGTTGCAATACTGGGCAATCAAACTCTATCATGGACAGAATAAGAAATCGGTTTGATAGAAGGCCTTCAGAATTATATTAGTCTACAATAACCATCACAATCAGGAATGGAGTCTTTGACTAGACTACAGAACTCTCAAGAAATGAACAGCCCATAACTCAACTAACACAACGAAGACAGCGACTTTTACACTGATAGTTATTTATTTCTCAAAAACTATATATTTTTTTACTTTCAACTTTAAAATATGGAAAACAATTTTGACAGTTGAGAACATTTAAATTGTATCTAAAATTATATATTTTAAATAATTAATTAGAAAATAGCATCTGATTAGAAAGAGGATATCTAAGATGCAAAGTGTGAAAGATTAGGCCCAGGTAACTGTTGGCTGTGTTTGTTGTTAACTATATCAAATGCATTTTAAAGTTTTACATTTGCTGTTATAGCATTAATATTTTTCAATACTTTTTTCAGTTGATAATATCTGAAATTAAAACAAACCATGTCATAAATGAGAATATCCCTTACTTATAATGCCCAAATATTTTTTTTATCCAGGTTTTTGTTTGTGTGTTTCCATGGTGTTTCCTTCAGATCAGATCTCATCTGAGAGACTCACCCCTACAAACTGGAAAGTTTCTTACCTTGATGAGTTTCAGATGTGGGAATCAGCGGGAACCAATTAACTTCTGAAAATACAACTTCAACTGGCGGCCATGGACCTCCCTAAGACAGAGGTAGAATCTGGGGCCCCAGATTGCACCATGCTCTCTCTCACCAATGAGATCATGGGTGATGAGTATGCTGCATATGACAGCTACAGCTCCCTGTCCTCCCTGTCGTTATCATTCAGTGGAAGCTTTGCTTCGATAAGCAGCATCGACACTGTATCATCTTGGGCTTCACATGACTCCTTCATCTGTCTGGCCATTCAGATCCTTCTAGAGGAGTTAAACCTCAATAACACAGAGGTAGCATCATCTGGGGTTCCCTCCATCTTCCCTGGAGAACTGTCAGTGAACTCTGTGGCCCCTCAGGATGGCACACTTGTGGCTGAGGCCCATGGTAAACTACAGATGCCTATCAGTGATGAGGTGCTGACCTCTACCAGGAACCGGCTGCTTCCAGGGACTCTGGAGAGCACTGAGAGGGGGGCAGAGGAAAGGAGAAGGAGCCTGTAAGCATTACTAGTCACTGTTGTACTTTTTACAGTTCTCTAATATTGTAGCAAGACATCCTGTCAACACAGAATGTTGAAAAGACAAAGTTGTGAATAACTGTTTTATCCCCTTCTTTTTTTTTGTCTTTCATTTTCAGGCTCACTGAGTTGCTAATTAATTAGGCAGAGCAAAATAAGAATAATCTGCATTCTTGTTTGATTAGAAGAAGAAAAACTATTACATGTTGAAGAATGTTCAGTAAATCTTTGATATTTTGTTTTGTTTTTCATTGAATTCATAAGTAGGCCTAGTGTCTAATAAGAGTAAGAACAAATAAATATATATATATTAAACTCGCACGAACAATAGAAACCAGGTTTTAAGAAAGAAATGTCAATATTCCAAGGCACAAATTGAACTCAAAATACTATTTATGAACAAGTTTATCTTCGAAAAAAATATACATATATTTCACAACATTAACTGAATAATGAAATATCTAGCAAACAGATACATTGTTGAATATCTGACTTTCTAAACATTATTATTATCTTTATATAATTATTATATTATAAACCAAATTACATTTCCTAGTTTGCACTCTGACAGAGCATCACAGACACAATCAATACTTTTTTTACAAAACTGTCCCCCACCCAAAATCTTGATTGAGAGAGAGAGACTGTAGAGAACACCAAGAGTGTGCAAAGCTATCATCAAGGCAAAGGGTGGCTATTTGAAGAATCTGAAATATAAAATATATTTTGATTTGTCTAACAATTTTTTGGTTACTACATGATTCCATATGTGTTATTTCATAGTTTTGATGTCTTCACTATTATTCTACAATGTAGAAAATAGTAAAAAAGAAAAGAAAAACCCTTGAATGAGTAGGTGTTCTAAAACTTTTGACCGGTAGTGTATGTCAACCCCTATTATTTCACACAGAGTGAGTCCATGTAACTTATTTTGTGAATGTCCAAACTTTTGACTGGTACTGTATATAAGACCCCCTAAATCATTCTAAGATTATTTACCTCCCTAAGCCATCAGTATTAACCAGTGGCAGATATACACAGGTACCTCCTTGTACAGTCAGCTCAGGTAATTGACTCTCTCCATTCACAGTACATGCAGTATAAGTCCCCAGCGTATATGAACAGCCTTGTAAAAGGCATTTAAATGTCTCAGTGAAATATACCCACTGCACAAATATGCACTACATGGTAATGCTTCTGTACTTACAGTCATTCATGTAATGAGTTCACCCCAAAAATGCGAGCAGGGGGGAAAAGTACTGACTGTGTGGTTGTGTAGCCCTGGTGAGTTGGTGAGGTCACATAGACAGCATCAGATGCCCACAGAGCCTTGCTGTAAAGTGCTGCCTCTGTGCTTTTGCATGGTCCTGTCCTGTCCTGCGTTAGGCCTATTTCGTCATACTAAACTGCTCTCTATCTCAGTTGGGTGTGTACAGATGTAGGATCTTAATTTGAGCCAGTTTGCTACAGCAGGAAATGTTAATTATTATGTGGATTATAATAAATTGACATTTTTGTAGGGGTTGATACATTTTTCTAACATTTCTACGTGGAAATTACAAACTTCTGAACCCTTTTTAAACCTCAAATACGCTACAAGTTTGACATTTCCTGCATAAAACTCTGGGCCTAGTTATAAAACTCTGGGCCCTAGATCTCTATTTCAGTTCGGTTTCACATAAGAACTTGTGGGAGTTTTTCTTACCATGTAACCTGACCAGGAATGTGGGGCCCTAGTTATAACGATCTATAATTAGAAAAATAACTCAGCGTTTAGGTTATATGCACTATGGATAATATACTGCTTATGTTAATGACCTTATATCACTTGAGTCATATCAGGTCCCCTGTGTATTCAAATAAAGTCTGAAAATGAACATAAATACAATAAAATAAAGTAAATCATTAGAAGCTCACAGAAAGGGATTCCACTCTTTCCTCAAATAAATAAAATAAATATAAAATAATGAAATATTATCTAATGGAAAATAACTCATTTGTGTTAAATAACTTATTTCTACTTATATGTCAATTAAGTTGGGAGGTAATAGTAGAACTTTTCTCAACTTTCAATCTGATTGATATCAAACATACCCATAGCTGTCAATCTGATTGATATCAAACATACCCATAGCTGTCAATCTGATTGATATCAAACATACCCATAGCTGTCAATCTGATTGATATCAAACATATCCATAGCTGTCAATCTGATTGATATCAAACATACCCATAGCTGTCAATCTGATTGATATCAAACATACCCATAGCTGTCAATCTGATTGATATCAAACATACCCATAGCTGTCAATCTGATTGATATCAAACATACCCATAGCTGTCAATCTGATTGATATCAAACATACCCATAGCTGTCAATCTGATTGATATCAAACATACCCATAGCTGTCAATCTGATTGATATCAAACATACCCATAGCTGTCAATCTGATTGATATCAAACATACCCATAGCTGTCAATCTGATTGATATCAAACATACCCATAGCTGTCAATCTGATTGATATCAAACACACCCATAGCTGTCACCGAAACGTGGCTACTATCAGCGTCAAAACACAACGTCACATGACTGTCTGTAAAAGTAAGAGTTATCGAAGAGAAAATAATGACTAGTTTTCTACAGCCCCACTTCCTTTTCTCTTTTCTACAGTCCCACTTCCTTTTCTACAGCCCCACTTTCTTTTCTACAGCCCCACTTCCTTTTCTACTGCCCCACTTCCTTTTCTACACCCCCACTTCCTTTTCTACAGCCCCACTTCCTTCCCAAAATCATTAGTAGTCCAGGGGAATATTATTCCAAAATCGACTGGATAAAATTCCAGATCTGGGAATGCCGCAACAAAATCCTACCCTCTTCCCGGGAACGACTTTCTGGAAAAAGAGGAGGAGAAGGCAAGCTCTCTCGCTGAAGGAAAGAGAGATGGAAAAACACATAACAAGACATTAACACACTCTGGGATTCTTTGGGGTGTCGCCAAAAAGCCCCAGAATTCCACCTGATCCACATAAGGTTTCAATTATGGCCTGGAGAGCTGGAGGGGCCGTTAGTTTAGCGCAGGCCTCTGTTGGGCAGCCAAGGGCTACTGAAGTAGGACCAGAGGTTACATTCCTCCTCTGGAAAACCTGTTCATTACTTTGGGAGTGATGATGTGTTATAGGTCTTCTAAAATTAACACACATTATGTAGACCAAAAAAGAACAATTGTTGGACATAGAAGTAAAAAGATGTCTGACTGAACTTGAATGCTCCTTGTATTGCTTTTTATTGACTGTTGGAAAAAGTCAGCAAACAGACTTTGCTCTGTTTTCTAAGTGCTTTTTTTAATCAAACACTTTTTCAACATCCAACAGTTTCCACTGAAAGCCTAAAGCAGGGTTTCTCAAACTTGGTCCTGGGGTCCACCCTGGGTGCACATTTTAGTTTTTTTTGCCCTAGCTGATTCAAATAATCACAGCTTGATGATGAGTTGGGTATTTGGATGGAGTTTGGGAAACACTGGCCTAAAGGATAAACATAAGGATAAACCGTGTTACCTCCACCTGCCAAAAGTCCTGACAGATCAGCGATAATGAAGCATAGAGAAAGTAATACAGGGAACGGAAGTGCATTCAGACAAACTGCTATTGCATTAGTTTAATACTATATGTGGTCCTCTGTAGCTCAGCTGGTAGAGCACGGCGCTTGAAACGCCAAGGTAGTGGGTTCGATCCCCGGGACCACCAATACACAAAAATGTATGCACGCATGACTGTAAGTCGCTTTGGATAAAAGCGTCTGCTAAATGGCTTATTATTATTATTATTATTATACTATAATACATATGTCCTACAGAGCGCATCTCCTATCTTTGCAATAGCCACTTCTGTGACAGCATGGGCAGTGGCATTGAGGAATATCTTCATTTTAATAAAATAGTCAATTTCTTATTTTTCTACTTCTATGAGTGTATTGGCAGTTTGTAAATAACCTGAAAAAGGTGCATACCACCACCTGCTGTGCTGGAGTGTGTGTAGTCTGGCCAGGTGTAAAACCAAGGTTGGGGATTTACTGCCACCTGCAGTTATGGAATCGTGTGATCCTTCCTTAACCTATAACATGTCCCGCCAAAATATATTCATTAAAGGAAGATGCTAAATAGCGGGAAAAATGAATGTAGACATGCAGAAAGCTCAGAGCATGGGGTTTCTTGACCAATCACGTTCACGCTGTCATGCTGTGTCACGCAGTTGCTAAGCCGTTCGTCACGCGCTACCTTCTAGAAAGTCAGGGTATGAGTTGAGAAACTGCTTATTTTTAATGTCATGATAACACAGATAACAAGGTAATAATCTGTGTTTACCTGTTCAGTTGACCTGTTCAGTGAATGTAGCAGATGGGAAGCTGTGAAACTCACTCCTCAGCCTGAATTGAAGGCCTTTGTCAATAGCGCAATGGGTAGGAATGCTTCAGTAGGAGTAGGGCAGTCACTTGTCTTTGCGAGGCAGAGATTCTGAGTTCGAGTCATGGTGTGAGCTGAATCAGGAGGAAGCGATACTCACTAAGCAAGCAGCGTGATGTCTTTTACAATGGTATTTGCTTTCTCTTGGAAATGCAATGTTTTAAATCAAATTTCCCCCACTCCAGTGTGGGCGGACTAATCTACCAGCTCATGTTTGTTGACTATGTTTCAGGCCTAGTGCTTATTTGACTAATTATGAACATTGCTTTAGGCCTATTTGAAAGGATTGGAGGGTTAGTTTAAGAGTTGGGGAGACAGGGCAGCCACAGGGCCATGAGATATGCAGTTTTTGGGAGTGGACACCTTTTTACCTCCAACGGCTGTTTTGAGGAGTGATACAGTTTGGTCATTGAGGTTTTTACCAAAAGCATTATGACACAGCCATTTATGATGCATGTACATGACATCACATGTAATGGCAGCAGATAGAATTATGGGTAACGTAGTCATTCTACAGTTTCCAAATTGTCCTACAAATGGCTACAGCATAAGTATTGTGACTTCGTTGTTGCTCTAGGTTACCAAGATTCCAAAAACAAACAAAAAACTGGAAAATTAACAAGAATCCAAAGCACAGCGGAATATAAAGTGGACAGTGGCATGTTCCTGGACAATGCACTTCTCAACAACATCACACCCACTCATGGACTTATGCAATAGCCCACACTCTTGTTAATGTAAATGTATCATCTTTACTGTTATCCTTTATCATCAAAATTATAATCATTATTATTATCCTTCAACATCAGGATCCTTACTTCATGTTTATTTTTTATGTAGCTAGTACTTTTAATGTAGCTAGCAAATTCACTACATTAAACTATATTACAAATATATGTATATTTTATGAAAGACATGTATGAAACCGAAATGAAAACGTAATATCTAAAACTGTTTCTTTGCATTGACAAATTGTATAACCTAAAGCAACCTAGCCTTGTCCCAGATGTGTTTGGAATCTTGCGTACTCACATGCTGTCAGTAAAGACAAATGTTTGACATGACAATGAGTGAAGGAGTTGGAATGATAGCACAAACAGACTGGCACCCAGGCTATATGAGATGGCATGATAGCACAAACAGACTGGCACTCAGGCTATAGGAGATGGCATGCTAGCACAAACAGACTGGCACCCAGGCTATATGAGATGGCATGCTAGCACAAACAGACTGGCACCCAGGCTATATGAGATGGCATGATAACACAAACAGACTGGCACTCAGGCTATAGGAGATGGCATGCTAGCACAAACAGACTGGCACCCAGGCTATATGAGATGGCATGCTAGCACAAACAGACTGGCACCCAGGCTATATGAGATGGCATGATAACACAAACAGACTGGCACTCAGGCTATATGAGATGGCATGATAGCACAAACAGACTGGCACTCAGGCTATATGAGATGGCATGATAACACAAACAGACTGGCACTCAGGCTATATGAGATGGCATGATAGCACAAACAGACTGGCACTCAGGCTATAGGAGATGGCATGATAACACGAACAGACTGGCACTCAGGCTATATGAGATGGCATGATAACACAAACAGACTGGCACTCAGGCTATAGGAGATGGCATGATAACACGAACAGACTGGCACTCAGGCTATAGACTAGCACTCAGACTAAAAGCTACCAGCATGATTCACTTTTTTAAGTCAGGTTACTAAAGGTCGTACTCAGGCTGATTGTTGAAAACCTTGGCCTATTAAAAAGAAATAACTTGGCTATTAAAAGGAAAACTTGTGTAATGTTTATATTAAATGGGTAATCAATGAATCATACAATAACAAGGCGACACCCCGCCACTTTTTTGGTAAACAGCTGAGGGCTAGAGCTAGAGAAATGTAACCACTCAAATTCACAGAAAGACCTATGGATGCAAGGATTGAAAATCAATGTGATAGTTCAACCATAATTTACATCTATTCCGCATTTGTTTACAGGAGGAGGTGGGAACATTGTAGCAAATGAGGTGGCAGATTTGCATGTGAACAACAGGCACTACTCAGATATAACGTTTCTTTGATTTTATGTAAGATTGTGCCTTCATTCGTAGCAACAACCTAAGCATTAGGAAACTTTTATCATAGGCCTCCCGCAGGCCCGGCTCCAGGATGACATGTCTGGCAGGCCCAACAACGCTACATTGGCAGAACCGGGCATTGTAATTCATATACCATTTTGTTATGTTTATGGGGAAACAAAACTCGGTGGGGGCACAAATTCTATCTGGGAGGTCCATGCCCGGCTTCGCCACCCCGTAGAGCTCTGTAGACCTCATGTAGCAAATTAGCAATACGTTTGTGTGCTGACCAAATACTCCCATTGCCTTCCATAAAAAAAGGCTAAATAAACGTACACTGCTTCACGCTTTAGTCAGACCCCTCTGATTTGACCATGAGAGGGCAGTAAAAGTCCATGATGATCTCATATTGGCTTGTCTTGTGCAGAATGACACCATTATGGGTGTATCTCAATAGTCTTCAGTGGCTCCCTCTCTTGTCGCCACTCATTCAGCTTCACTAATAAAAACAAAAAACAAAAATGATGGACAGGTGAAAGCAATATGGTGGATCCTTTCACATGCCCAATTTCTTTCCCATCAGTGCAGATGAAGGTAATTACAGGAGAGGAAACCACTTTATACTGCTATAAAGAACATACAATATGACTCATTATGCCAACATACCTCACAGGTTCAGTTATGAGGCAGAGGTCAAAAGATTTCAGCTGCAATTTAGAGAAAGACAGCACAATAGATTGTTTAATCACTATGTGCACAGGTCTCCTATCTCAGTATAACACATGTTGCTCTGTATGAAAGATTCCATGTCTCAAACACCATATTATCATTGAAGGAAAATATGTGACGCTTGTATGTACGTCAGGGGTGTCTGTCTGCGAGTTTTTGGTTTTTCCTTTCAATTAAGACCTAGACAACCAGGTGTGGGGAGTTCCTTACTAATTAGTGACCTTAATTCATCAATCAAGTACAAGGGTGGAGCGAAAACCTGCAGACACTCGGCCCTCCGTGGAATGAGTTTGACACGTGATGTATGTGAAGTACAACAAGTTGTAATAAAATTTACATTTTTATCTGATTATAAAATTAATGAATACATAATATGGGTAAGAATAACAAATCAGACATGGAATATCTCTTTAAGCATGGTCAAGTTAAAACAGCTACATAGTTCAATGGCTGTGATGGGAGAAAACTGAGGATGGATCAACAACATTGTAGTGACTCCACAATAATTACCTAAATGACAGAGTGAAAAGAAGAATGCAAATATACAGAATAAAAAAGTAATACTGCAAAAAAAAAAAAAAAAAAAAAAAAAAAAGAACTTTTTGGCCTAAATGCGAAGTCTTATGTTTGGGGCAAATCCAACACAACACATTGCTGAGTAACTGCCTCCTTATTTTCAAGCATGGTGGTGGCTGCATCATGGTATGGTTATGCTTGACATCGGCAAAGACTGGGGAGTTTTTCAGGATAAAAAGAAACAAGATGGAGCTAAGCACAGGAAAAATCGTAGAGGAAAACCTGCTTCAGTCTGCTTTACACCAGACACCGGGAGAGAAATTCACCTTTCAGCAGGACAATAACCTACAACAGAAGGCCAAGTCTCCTTTGGAGACATTATCCAGAATGAGATTCTGATGTAATATGAGTTGGTTTGGAGTGTTTTGGAGCGTTTTGATAATGCATTGTAGTCTATGGGTATACAGAAGATAGCCCTATTTGGTAAAAGACCAAGTCCATATTATGGCAAGAACATCTCAAATAAGCAAAGAGAAACGACAGTCCATCATTACTTTAAGACATGAAGGTCAGTCAATACGGAAAATGTGAAGAACTTTGAACGTTTCTTCAAGTGCAGTCGCAAAAATGGGCGGCAGGTAGCTTAGTGGGTAAGAGCGTTGTGCCAGTAACCGAAAGGTCGCTGGTTCTAATCCCCGAGCCGACTAGGTGAAAAATCTGTCGATGTGTCCTTGAGCAAGGCACTTAACCCTAATTGCTCCTGTAAGTCGCTCTGGATAAGAGTGTCTGCTAAATGACTAAAATGTAATGTAAATGTAAAAATCATGAAGCGCTATGATGAAACTGACTCTCATGAGGACCGTCACAGGAATGGAAGACCCAGAGTTATCTCTGCTGCAGAGGATAAGTTCATTAGAGTTACCAGCCTCAGAAATTGCAGCCCAAATAAATGCTTCACAGAGTTCAAGTAACAGACACATCTCAACATCAATTGTTCAGAGGAGACTGTGTGAATCAGGCCTTCATGGTCGAATTGCTGCAAAGAAACCACTACTAAAGGACACCAATAAGAAGAAGAGACTTGCTTGGGCCAAGAAACACGAGCAATGGACATTAGACCAGTGGAAATGGGTTCTTTGGTCTGGAGTCCAAATTGGAGATTTCTGGTTCCAACCGCTGTGTTGACGCGGTGTGGGTGAACGGATGATCTCCACATGTGTATTTCCCACCGTAAAGCATGGAGGAGGAGGTGTTATGGTGTGGGGGTGCTTTGCTGGTGACACTATCTGTGATTTCTTTAGTATTCAAGGCACACTTAACCAGCATGGTTACCACAGCATTCTGCAGCGATACGCCATCCCATCTGGTTTGGGCTTAGTGGGACTATCATTTGTTTTTCAACAGGACACACACAACACACCTCCAGGCTGTGTAAGGGCTATTTTACCAAGAAGGAGAGTGATGGAGTGGCCTCCTCAATCCCCCGACCTCAACCAAAAAAAGCAGCCAACAAGTGCTCAGCCTATGTGGAAACTCCTTCAAGACTGTTGAAAAAGCATTCCAGGTGTAGCTGGTTGAGAGAATGCCAAGAGTGTGCACAGCTGTCATCAAGGGAAAGGGTGGCTACTTTGAAGAATCTCACATTTGTTTAACACTTTTTTGGTTACTACAGTCGTGGTCAAAAGTTTTGAGAATGACACAAGTATTGGTCTTCACAAAGTTTGCTGCTTCAGTGTTTTTAGATATTTTTGTCAGATGTTACTATGGTATACTGAAGTATAATTACAAGCATTCCATAAGTGTCAAAGGCTTTTATTAACAATTACATTAAGTTTATGCAAAGAGTCAATATTTGCAGTGCTGACCCTTCTTTTTCAAGACCTCTGCAATCCGCCCTGCCATGCTGTCAATTAACTTCTGGGCCACATCCTGACCGATGGCAGCCCATTCTTGCATAATCAATGCTTGTAATTTGTCAGAATTTGTGGGTTTTTGTTTGTCCACCCGCCTCTTGAAGATTGACCACAAGTTCTCAATGGGATTAAGGTCTGGGGAGTTTCCTGGCCATGGACCCAAAATGTTGATGTTTTGTTCCCCGAGCCACTTAGTTATCACTTTTGCCTTATGGCAAGGTGCTCCATCATGCTGGAAAAGGCATTGTTCATCACCAAACTGTTCTTGGATGGTTGGGAGAAGTTGCTCTCGGAGGATGTGTTGGTACCATTCTTTACTCATGGCTGTGTTCTTAGGCAACATTGTGAGTGAGCCCACTCCCTTGGCTGAGAAGCAACCGCACACATGAATGGTCTCAGGATGCTTTACTGTTGGCATGACACAGGACTGATGGTAGCGCTCACCTTGTCTTCTCCGGACAAGCTTTTTTCTGAATGCCCCAAACAACCGGAAAAGGGATTCATCAGAGAAAATGACTTTACCCCAGTCCTCAGCAGTCCAATCCCTGTACCTTTTGCAGAATATCAGTCTGTCCCTGATGTTTTTCCTGGAGAGAAGTGGCTTCCTCGCTGCCCTTCTTGACACCAGGCCATCCTCCAAAAGTATTCGCCTCACTGTGCGTGCAGATGCACTCACACCTGCCATTCCTGAGCAAGCTCTGGTGGTGCCCCGATCCCGCAGCTGAATCAACTTTAGGAGACGGTCCTGGCACTTGCTGGACTTTCTTGGGCACCCTGAAGCCTTCTTCACAACAATTGAACCTCTCTCCTTGAAGTTCTTGATGATCCGATAAATTGTTGATTTAGGTGCAATCTTACTAGCAGCAATATCCTTGCCTGTGAAGCCCTTTTTGTGCAAAGCAATGATGACGGCACATGTTTCCTTGCAGGTAACCATGGTTAACAGAGGAAGAACAATGATTTCAAGCACCACCCTCCTTTTAAAGCTTAAAGTCTGTTATTCTAACTCAATCAGCATGACAGATGATCTCCAGCCTTGTCCTTGTCAACACTTTCACCTGTGTTAACGAGAGAATCACTGACATGATGTCAGCTGGTCCTTTTGTGGCTGGGCTGAAATGCAGTGGAAATGTTTTTTGGGGATTAAGTTCATTTTCATGGCAAAGAGGGACTTTGCAATTAATTGCAATTCATCTGATCATTCTTCATAACATTCTGGAGTATATGCAAATTGCCATCATAAAAACTGAGGCAGCAGACTTTGTGAAAATTAATATTTGTGTCATTCTCAAAACTTTTGACCACGACTGTACATGATTCCATATATGTTATTTCATAGTTTTGATGTCTTCACTATTATTCTACAATGTAGAAAATAGTAAAAAAGAAAAGAAAAACCCTTGAATGAGTAGGTGTTCTAAAACTTTTGACCGGTAGTGTATGTCAACCCCTATTATTTCACACAGAGTGAGTCCATGTAACTTATTTTGTGAATTGTCAAGCCAAATTTGACTCCTGAACTAATTTACGCTTGCCTAAACAAAGTTGGTGAACACTTTTGCAACGACTATATTTTAGTTATTTAATATGTATTAATCTGACACTTTTCTCTTTGACATTATGTGTCACGTCTACTCCCACTCAACGTCGCCGGTCTACTAACCACCGGTCCTGGCAACCATCGTTACGCACACCTGGCAACCATCGTTACGCACACCTGGCAACCATCGTTACGCACACCTGGCAACCATCATTATGCACACCTGTGCCCCATCATGAGGCACACCTGGACTTCAACACTCCCTGATTACTTCCCCTTTATCTAGCACTCCGTTGTATCACCCATTAGGTAGTATCGTTTCCTGTTTTCATGTTTAGAAGCTACTCCTGCTTTTGTATTCACGCCATGTTTGTTACTATTAAGCTCACTGACTGCACCTGCTTCCTGACTCCCTGCATCTCCATTACAGAATACTACCTCACATAATGGAAGTAGCAGCCAACCGAGACATCTCCCAGATTGTCGGCGAACAGGGGGACCTACTTCGCCAACACCACGACCAGCTGGCGCAACTGGGGACGGCTATGGATGAGGTCCTCTGCGTTCTTCAACGTCTAGATCTTCCTCAAAGGACGTCACCCCCAACGAGCGGAGGATCTTCTACCATGAGTCGACCCAGCGAGCATTAAGCAGTCTGCCCAGGTCAGCAATGCCCGTTTGTCCCTTCCGGACAAATAGGATGGGACTCCATCCAAAGGCCGTTGCTTCCCCATCCAGTGCTCCCTCTATTTTTCCCACCACAAGGTTGCCCGGGCGGGCGTTGGAGTGGGCTATGGCCATCTGGGAGAGAGGAGATGAAGAGCTGGGTTCCTATGGGAGGTTCATGGCTCTGTTCAGAGGAGTCTTCGATCATCCAAAGTAGGGCAGAGATGGGGAGTGAGCGCCTACTCCAACTACAGCAGGAGGACCAGAACGCCCTCACCTTCCGTACAGTGGCAGCATCCAGTGGATGGAATGAGCCGACGCGCCACACCTTATTCAGAAGAGGATTGCGCGAGGAGGTCCAGACGGAGTTGGCATGCCGAGACGACACCCTCTCATTGGACACACAATCTTGCGATGGCCATCTGTCACTTTACCCCTACATACATGTACAAATTACCTCGACTAACCTGTACCCCCGCACATTGACTCGGTACCGTTACTCCCTGTATATAGCCTCGTTATTGTTATTTTATTGTGTTACTTTTTATAAATATTTTCTTAACTCTATTTCTTGAATTGCATTGTTGGTTAAGGGCTTGTAAGTGAGCATTTCACGGTAAGGTCTACACCTGTTGTATTCGGCGCATGTGACAAATACTATTTTATTTTGGGATAACCTCCTTCGGGAGCGTTGGCACTCCCATCGCCTCTCTCTCTCCTTCGTTGACCGATCTGAGTCAGTCTGAACCCATGGAGGTAGAGGCCACACGCCTCCCGTCGGCTGAGCGACGCCATCGAAGACAGCTGGGGCTCTGTCGCTATTGTGGTCAAGGGGGGCACCAGCTTCAATGGTGTCCACTAGAGCCACTAGCCCTGTGATCATCCGTCTCCTGGGGTAGGTGTGAGTATTCCATCATCATCACTCTCCATCAAACCCTTTTTAGTACCGATTTCACTAGCTGGCTGTCCCTCGTGTATTGTTTCTACAGCTTTAGTGGACTCCGGTGCCGCAGGGAATTTTATTGACCAGGCCCTTGCCTCCTTCCTGAACATAACATCATACCCGCTCTCCTCTCCGTTTCCGGTTCAAGCGCTGGATAACCGACCACTGGGATCTGGGACAATCACACATCACAGCACCACTCATCATCACCGTGGGACCCCTGCACCAAGAAAGCCTCCCCTTCCTCATCATCCAGGCACCAGTACACAAAGTCATCCTCTGAGGTTTACCAGTATCACCGGGAGGTTTTCTACAAGACCCGCGCCACCTCATCACTCCTGGGACTGTGCCATCGACCTGCTAACAGACTCTACACAGCCGCATATACCCCCTTTTGGTGGCTCAAACCAAGGCTATGGAGGAATACATCCAGGAGGCTCTCCAACAGGTTTTCATCCGCCCATCCACCTCCCCTGCATCGGCAGATTTCTTCTTCAATGCCATCACCACCAAGTACCGCTACCCCCTTCCGTTGGTGCTGGCCACCATTGAACAGCTCCGCGGGGCCCGTTTTTTTTTAACAAGCTGGACCTGTGGAGTGCCTACAATTTGATCCGCATCTGGGAGGGGGATGAATGGAAGAAGACTGCCTTCAGCATGATGTCTGGGCACTACGAGAACTTGGTGATGCCTTATGGATTAGCCAATGCTCCGTTGGTGTTCCAGGCATTCGTGAATGAGGTGTTTCGGGACATGCTTGGGCGTCAGGTAGTCGTGTATATCGACGACATCCTGAGCTACTCGGCCACCTTGGAGGACCACATCGCCCACGTACGGGTAGTCCTGGAACGCCTTCTGGAGAACCATCTGTACGTCAAAGCGGAGAAGTGCCAGTTCCATCAGGCCGTTCTCCTTCTTGGGATATCGACTCAGCCCGCAGGGAGTGGTTATGGAGGAGAGGAAGGTAGATGCAGTCAGGTCATGGCCAGTCCCGACCACCATAAAGGGACTACAACGTTTATTACCGCCACTTCATTAGGAACTTCAGTGCCATCGCCTCTCACATCTCTCCTCAAAGGTGGTCCCCGTAAGTTGGTGTGGAATCCTGCAGCTGATGAGGCCTTCCACCTACTGAAGGGGCGTTTCACCTTCATCCCGTTGCTGAAAACACCCAGATCCTACGCTGCCCTTTCGAGGTGGATGCCTCATAAGTGGGTGTGGGGGCCGTCCTGTCACAACGTCAAGGTAATCCACATAAATTGTATCCATGTGCATACTACTCTAAAAAACTGTCTCCTGCAGAAAGGAACTATGACGTCGGTGATCGGGAGCTCCTGGCGGTGAAGTTGGCATTAAAGAAGTGGAGACACTGGCTGGAGGGCGCCCAGGACCCATTTCTCACCGACCATCGGAACCTGGAGTACATACGGACAGCGAGGCGGTGAACCCGTGCCAAGCAAGGTGGGCCCTTTTCTTTACCAGATTCAACTTCAACCTGTCATACCGCCCAGGTTCAAAGAACATCAAAGCCGACGCCCTGTCCCGTCTCCACGATTCGGGAGAGGTTCCGGTCCTGAATGCACCGATCATACCACCCTCCCGAATCGTTGCCCCAGTGCTTTGGGACATAGACGGTGACATATGCCAGGCTCTGGAGAGGGAACCCGTGCCTGCTACTTGTCCTCCGGAGCTTTCCTACATTCCCACGGAGGTAAGGGATCGGCTATTGACCTGGGCGCACACATCCCTTGCCGCTGGACACCCAGGTATCACCCGCACCACTCAATCCATCTCCGGTAAGTACTGGCGGCCCACCTTGGCGCAGGACGTCGCCTGCTACATCAATTCCTGCTCCTTATGTGCCCAAACCAAACCAAACAGCCGGCCCTAGCCCCGTGGACCCTGAGCCAGACCGAAGCCCCTGCGGTGGACGAGTGGTTCCAACGAGCCGTCCATCACCAGAAGGAGTAGGCGGATCGCCACTGCAGTGAGGCTCCTGTGTTCCATCCTGGTGAACGTGTATGGCTCTCCACCAGGAATATCCCGCTCCGCCTGCCCTGCCGGAAGCTGAGCCCCTGGTTTGTGGGGCCATTCAAAGTCCTCCGGAGGGTCAATGAGGTAACATGCCAAATCCATCTTCCCACTAACTACCGGATCTCACCCTCTTTTCACGTTTCCCTCCTCAGGCCGGTGGTTCCTGGTCCCCTGGCTGATACCGTCCCCCACGACACCCCTCCCCTGGACATCGAGGGAAACCCCGCCTATGTTGTCAGATTCCTCCTGGACTCCAGAGGAGCGGTGTTGGATTCCGGTGGACGACATTCTAGATCCCAACATCTTCCGATATTTCCACCTTCGCCGACCGGACCGGCACACTCTTCCCCCTCGGAGCCGTCGCCCTGCGGCTGGAGCCGCGTGTCGGGGGGGTACTGTCACGTCTACTCGACATCGCCGGTCTACTAACCACTGTCCTGGCAACCCATCATTACTCACATCTGGCAACCATCATTACGCACACCTGCGCCCCATCATGAGGCACACTTGGACTTAATCACTCCCTGATTACTTCCCCTTTATCTAGCACTCCGTTGTATCACCCATTAGGTCATGTTTAGACGCTACTCCTGTTTTTGTATTCACTCCATGTTCGTTCCTATTAAACTCACCGACTGCACCTGCTTCCTGACCACTGCGTCTCCGTTACATTATGAAGTATTTTGTGTAGAACACTGACAAAAAAAAATTCACATTTAAATCTATTTCAATCCCACTTTGTATTGCAACAAAAAGTGAAAAAATCCAAGGGAGGTGAATACTTATGATACCCAGTGTAAAAGGCAAAACGGATCCTATATACCACAAATACTCTTCTGTTTTAAACTGTAGAAATGGCAAATCTATCACTGGTTAGGAGAGACTTTAATTTCGAAACCCTTTTAAGATTATTTTTTTTATTGACTCAGTCTTAGACAGATGGCTTTCTATGATATTTATTACAAAATGTAATCTCGATTTTGTTATTTACAACATTCCATAACGTCCACCAGATGACAGTGTAGAGGTAAGACAATAGGAGGGTCTGTCAAACTGAAAACAATACAGGAAGACAGACAGTGGAGAGTTCCAATAGAAAGATACTGGACTGAAGATCAATAGTTATGCTGATCATATGATGCAAAATGCATCATACGGGATGATTTCTGTATTTTGAAAGTTGCATATCTTAACTTAATTGCTGACAAGCAAAACATTTGGGGAGTATGTCAACAATGGACTAATGAAACAAATACCAGAAGATAGTTTTGTGGTGGAGTTTTCCTTTAAGAACTCATATAGGGTCCTTATTACTGTTGGATTACTAAACAAGACTGTCACACCCTGTGTGTGTGCATGTGTGTAGATTTGACCTTTAGGGATTTCCACACAGAAACCTCTAGAATCTCTGACTGGTTTCTCTCTCTCTGTGTCGTACTTGATCAGGGCGCACGGGCTAAATAACTGCAAACAGACAACAACATACAAAACAACATGAGAAACCCCAGTTGTAACTAACCAGTTTTTTTTATTTTTGTTTCCTTGCAAGTACAGTGCCCTGACACAGTATATTACATTGATTATATCTTACATCTTGACTCCCGTATTTAGACACCAAGTCTCTCATCGCAATATCTTTGTCTTTAGCTTCCTACTAGTCTCACTTTGCGAAGGAAGAACTCCTTGCCGATTGCTCCGACCTTCCCAATGTAGTTGATGAATCCGACATTTCCCTCCGTAGCTCCGTAACGTTCACAGAGACGAATGTCCCCGAAACGCTGCAGAAACTCTGACCAGGTGTCAGATCTTATCCCGTTCCCTATGGTCAGCTGAACTTTGTGGTCTTTCTAAGGAGAGAATAGAAAGGATTGGGACATCCTTAAAAAGGATCGTTCATCAAAATGACAAAATGTTGGTTTCCTTACCCTGTAAGTAGTCTATGGGCAAGGAGCAACTGCAATTCATGCTTTGGTTTTCTTTACCTGGCTGCTCTTTACCAAATGCTATCAAAACGTAACATTTCCGTCCCAAAAACCGATCCAGGCCAATACTCCCCCATATTAGCACGTTTTACACTTCCTGCACAAATCAGCTTTGTAACTTCACTGAGTGAGCTACACAATCCATTTCAGACACAGGGAGGATTTGGGCATGACGTTTGGGATAAAATGCGAAAGTTGGTCATTTGGGTAAACTATCCCTTGCAATAGGAAAATAGGTAAAGGATAGGAAATGAATCATAAACAAATAGGAAGCATGAGTTACCTTGGGTGTGTTGCAGAGGTACCGCATTACCTCTCCTATGATTTTTCGGCCATTGAAATCCTTGTGTAGGCCAACGAGGTGTTTTTCGGGCCGCCTAATTCCAAAGAGTAATTCTATTAAAAAAAAAATACATTTTCAGGATGGAAAAATGCTTACAATGTAAACTTAAATGACTAAGTTTACACTGAAAAAACTATATAAACAAATAATGGGCCTACATATATATTTTTTATAATCTTTGAGAACTAACAATCACCCAAAAAAATGAATTTAGCAGTATTGATTTTGTTATTATGTTTGAGCAAAAGAACACACCATTAGCCATGGCAAAATGCATAGAATTGCAGGAAATTAGCTTTAAAACTGCACAATTTTCTCTACGCTCCATAGCAGAATACGTAGAATTGCAGGAAATTACCTTTAAAACTGCAAACATTTCTCTCAGCTCTATGGAAGAAATTTGTAGAATTGCAGGAAATTGGCTAAAAAGAATTTAATCCGCCATGATGGGGACCTCTAAAATTCAGCCCCGCCGACAGAGCCCATTGCCACGCCCCCTGCCACGCCCACCACCTAAGCCCCTTTTTGATCCAGATAAAACCCTGCTTTAAGGCTTCAACTACTATGGCCTAAGAGTTTTTCCTGGCTGTTGGTATATTTGATTGATTTGGTTGTCTCAGGAGAACCATCCTCCTCTTCCTCCTCAATCCACCAACCTCCTCTGGTCTCAGGTAATAATTGACATAAACAGTTTTGAACTCTGGGACTTTGGTTTGAAACACAAACATGAGGAATCACCTCAGAGCCAAGTTACCTCCCATCCAATACCCAGAGGAGATAGATAGCACACTATACAACCCTTGGTAAACCCTAGCCCCCATCATAACAATGTAATTACATGTGGAAACTTTAAAAAAATTTATTTAACCTTTATTTAACCAGGAAGGGCTCATTGAGATTTGAAATCTCTTTTTTAAGAGCGTCCTGGCCAAGATGGGCAGCATCAAGTCATTACATAATTACAGACAGACAACATGAAAAACTACAAGTCATCTAGTAAACATCCATAGAAATCACAGGAGTATAACAAAATCATAAAACAGTAATTAAAAACATTGACAGGTCAATGAATCAGCCTCAAAATCCTTAATCAATGATTTAAAAACACCAATCGGGACAAGTTCCTCCAGTTTAAAAGTATGTTGTAAGGCGTTCCAAGCCGATGGCGCAAAGTACATAAAAGCCCTTTTACCAAATTCAGTTCGGACATTTGAAACAGTTAGCAGGATAAAGTCCTGCGAACGAAGGGAGTACCCACCACATTTCTGAAGAATAAAAATGCCCAGATAAAATGGTAGTAAATCCAAAATGGCTTTGTAAATAAAAGTATACCAGTGACTGAGCCTACGAGTGACTAGAGTATATAAAGTGCAATGGTGCGTAAGGGTTTTGCAGTTTAAAATACATCTCAATACTCCATGATAAAGGGTGTCAATTGATCTCGAACACTGAGCGGAAGCATTCATATATAAAATATCTCCATAGTCTAGTATAGGCATCAATGTAGATGATACTAGCCTTCTTCTGGCTTCAAAAGAAAAACAGGCCTTATTCCTAAAATAAAATCCCAACTTCAGCTTCAATTTTTTAAATAAGTTGTTGAATATGCAATTTAAAAGAGAGGCTGTCATCAATTAAAATTCCAAGATATTTATATGAGGTTACAACCTCAAGCTCATTTCCCTGACAGGTAGTAATAGGTGAAAGGTTCAGTGGTCTAGTCCCTTGTAGAGCATGGCACTTGCAACGCCAGGGTTGTGGGTTCGATTCCCACGGGGGGCCAGAATGAAAATGTATGCACTCACTAACTGTAAGTCGCTCTGGATAAGAGCGTCTGCTTAAATGTATATTTCTTGCTTTAGAAAACACCATTAGTTTAGTTTTGTCAGCAATGAGGATAAGCTTCAATTGACACAAGGTATGTTGAACAGTATAAAAAGCAGTCTGTTGAAACAAATGAAACAGTATTGAATCCTCTAGGTCTGTTAGTGATCTGTTTGTGCTGTCTTAGAAGTTGGTAAAACAGCACAGATGGATCTGGGACCAGGTTACAATGTCCGGGTGTCCCTGAGGAAGGGAATGGGAAACCCTGAGCGACAACGACAGTCATAGCCGCGGGAAGAAGGGGTGATGCATAACCCAATGAAAAATCGGAATAAAAAAACGATTTACAGTACCAGTCAATAGTTTGGACACACCTACTCATTTAAGGGTTTGTCTTTATTTTTCCTATTTCTTACATTGTAGAATAATAGTGAAGACATCAAAACTATGAAATAACACATATGGAATCATGTAGTAACCACAAAAGTGTTAAACAAATCAAAAATATATTTTATATTTGAGATTCTTCAAATGGCCACCCTTTGCCTTGATGACAGCTTTGCACACTCTTGGCATTCTCTCAACCAGCTTCATGAGGTAGTCACCTGGAATGCATTTCAATTAACAGGTGTGCCTTCTTAAAAGTTGATTTGTGGAATTTCTTTCCTTCTTAATGCATTTGAGCCAAACAGTTGTGTTGTGACAACGTAGGGGTGGTATACAGAAGATAGGCCTATTTGGTGAAAGACTAAGTCCATATTATGGCAAGAACAGCTCAAATAAGCAAAGAGAAACGACAGTCCATCATTACTTTAAGCCATGAAGGTCAGTCAATACGGAACATTTCAAGAACTTTTAAAGTTTCTTCAAGTGCAGTCGCAAAAACCATCAAGCGCTATGATGAAACTGGCTCTCATGAGGACCGCCACAGGAATGGAAGACCCAGAGTTACCGCTGCTGCAGAGGACAAGTTCATTAGAGTTACCAGCCTCAGAAATTGCAGCCCAAATAAATGCTTCACAGAGTTCAAGTCACAGACACATCTCAACATCAACTGTTCAGAGAAGACGTGAATCAGGCCTTCATGGTCGAATTGCTGCAAAGAAACCACTACTAAAGGACACCAATAAGAAGAAGAGACCTGCTTGGGCCAAGAAACACGAGCAATTGACATTAGACAGGTGGAAATCTGACCTTTGGTCTGGAGTCCAAATCTGAGATTTTTGGTGTCTTTGTGAGACGCGGTTTGGGTGAACGGATGATCTCCGCATGTGTATTTCCCACCGTAAAGCATGGAGGAGGAGGTGTTATGGTGTGGGGGTGCTTTGCTGGTGACACTGTCTGTGATTTATTTAGAATTTAAGGCACACTTAACAACCATGGCTACCACAGCATTCTGCAGCAATACGCCATCCCATCTGGTTTGGGCTTAGTGGGACTATAATTTTTAATTTTTCAACAGGACAATGACCCAACACACCTCCAGGCTGTGTAAGGGCTATTTTACCAAGAAGGAGAGTGATGGAGTGCTGCATCAGATGACTGCTAAATGACTAAAATGTAAATGTAAATGTAATGACCTGGCCTCCACAATCCCCCGACCTCAACCCAATTGAAATGGTTTGGGATGAGTCGGACCGCAGTGTGAAGGAAAAGCAGCCAACAAGTGCTCAGCATATGTGGGAACTCCTTCAAGACTGTTGGAAAAGCATTCCAGGTGAAGCTGGTTGAGAGAATGCCAAGAGTATGCAAAGCTGTCATAAAGGCAAAGAGTGGCTATTTGAGGAATTTCAAATATAAAATATATTTTGATTTGTTTAACACTTTTTTAGTTACTACATGATTCCATATCTGTTATATCATAGTTTGGATGTCTTCACTATTATTCTACAATGTAGAAATAGTAAAAATAAAGAAAACCCCTTGAATGAGTAGGTGTGTCTAAACTTTTGACTGGTACGGTATATATTTAACTATTTTGAAAAACATATATTTTCACAAAAGTAGTGCACTGGGCCTTTAATAGTCCTGTATTAGAGGACCTATATATCCGCCTGCAGTGCCAACGCCCTGTAGTTGTAAACACTATAGCCTCAAAACATGGTTATAATTATCATTTTGATCTTATGGATGGTCAGTCCTTGCATCCATAGCTTGGTCTATGAATTTGAGAGTGGTTACATTTCTCCAGCTTCATCCCTCAGCTGTTTACCAAATGTTTACCAAACTTACCAAACTGTTTAATAACTTTTTTTTTTTTTTTTACTGCAGGTTAACCCTTTAAAAAAAAGAACACGTATAAGGGTAGGGTCCTTGCTCTCCGGTATCCTTGGGAAGTCCAAACTCTGATGTAACCCCATTGAAGTTGATATTTAAATTGTTAAGATTTGGGTTAGGTAAGGGTTAGGGTTAGGGTTTTGGGTAGGGATGTCCCAAGGATCCCAGATAGCACTAACCATGGCAAGTTTGGTTATAGACGTTCAATGTTTACTATGATAGTAAAGGTTTATCTTGATTTTGTGTAACAGTACGAGAAATGGTCCTCTGTAGCTTAGCTGGTAGAGTACGGCGCTTGTAACGCCAAGGTAGTGGGTTCGATCCCCGGGACCACCCATACACAAAAATGTATGCACGCATGACTGTAAGTCGCTTTGGATAAAAGCGTCTGCTAAATGGCATATTATTATTATATTATTAAATGCTGATGTGCTGAACTGCTAATAAGTGATGTGTTTCAAGGCTGCTAGTGGTTGGCTAGAAGGGGTACGCCAGGGGTGTAAAAGGGGCTATGCTAAAAGCCTAAGTGCTGTATAAGTGATACAAATATTTTTTACTGATAGACAATAAAGAAATCACAGGACATGGTCAGATGATAAGTTGGCTTTATTCAGAGTGCCAAAATATTTTTTGGGAAAAAATGAGGACTCGGTATGATGTGGGTCTTTAGCATCTTATGTGGACAGTGGCTTCACTCCTGCCGTGTGTTCACTTCTGTGTTCTTCTCTTGACATCACTTTTCCAACATGACTTCGGTCAAGTTCGGATAAAATATACATTTCTCCCAAAATAAAGATGTAAAGTGATATGTCGTATTGGGACTTTTAGTTGGAAGGATGAAACCAATCAGAATGTTTAACAGCAACCTAATTCTGCAATCTTCCCTTTAAAAGGTACTGTAAGTGTTACTTCAAACTCACAAAAAGTATATGCAGGCTGCTACAATCCTGCAATTTCTATCTCTTTACTCTGTAGTCCCCATACAAGGGCTGTCATTCCTACAGAGTTGTGCTTTTTGACAACAATGCTCTGACAACCTGAAAAAATAGGCGCAGGTGTGACTCTCTCTCTTTGTCAATATCAAATGTTGATGTATTGTTACATTAACTGGTTAAAGACATGATTCTTTTTTTTTTTAATATATTTTTTTTACATGTTTTTAACCTGTTAATGTAGGCCAAATGAAGCCAATAATATAGGATTTGTTGAGCAAGCATCACACCTATTTTTCTTAATATTCATGTCACTTTTGGCTGCACTTTTAGCTGAAGTGTTGAAATTGTGATTTAGAAGTGACCGTTTGAATCAGTCAACAATCAGACCGTGACACACACCCTCCACACTCTTTTGTAACTCTGATGATGAGTCAAAACACTAGATTCCATATTCTGCAAATTAATTTTAGCATGTCCAATATGTATGTGCTGTACCGTGTTAGCTACCCAAAGTTAGGAAACAGAGCGGTGTCAGTAGTCTTGTCACGTTGAGCTTAATGAATGCTCCCAAGGGTGCTGACCCCATCGGAAGACCAGCGCTGTTGTGCTGTTGCTCTCCCGGTCAGGCCAGCACCTTTCGAAATGCTCTCAACACAGTCCACTGTGTCCAGATACAGCAAATGGCTATAAATACAGACAGAGAAAGACATTTTGAAAAGGTCAATGTTAGTTGGAGCACAGAAAGTCGTAACCAGAGGAGAGCCGGTGCTGAATATGATAAGAGCAGACCTGGGTTCAAATACTATTTGAAATAATTTCAAATACTTCAGCTGTGCTTGATTGAGCTTGCCTGTTGCAATGGAACTAATAGAACAGTCCCAAAAGTGCACCTGGCACTCCAGGCAGGCTAAAGCGATTGCTCAAAGTATTTAAAAGATTTCAAATAGTATTTGAACCCAGGTTTGGATAAGAGCTTCACAGGAGGATGAGGCAAACTAAGCATGCATACCAAATGGAACCCTATTCACTATGTAGTGCACTGCTCGTCAAAAGTAGTGCACTGCGTAGTGAATAGGGTGCCATTTGGGACACATACTAAAACAGCAGGCAATTTATAATTCCTTCACATGAGATAAAACAGGAGATACATTGAACATGGCATTTGAGAAAGGGCATTTAATTCAACGAGGAGAGTGTCGGTGACATCACGTCAAACTGAGTGCACTTCCACTTTCATATCAGAAAGGACATGATGGAGAGAGAAGAGAGAGGAGAGAGAAGAGAGGGGGAGAGAGAGAGAGAAGGGGAGAGAAGAGAGGGGAGGCAGAGAGGGAGGAGAAAGAGGAGAGGAGGAGAGAAAGAGGGGGGAGAGGAAGAGAGGGGAGGAGAGAGAGAAGAGAGGGGAGAGAGAGAAGAGAGGGGAGAGAGGGGAGAGATAGGAGAGGGAGAGAGAGAAGAGAGGGGAGAGAGAGGAAGGGAGGAGAAGAGAGGAGGGGGACAGAGAGAGAGGGGGAGGAGAGGAGAGGGGGAGGGGAGAGAAACGGAGAGCGGAAGAGAAGAGAGGGGGAGAGAGAAAGACGGAGGGGAGAGAGAAGAGAAGAGGCAGCGAGGGGAGGAAGAGAGAGAGAGGGAGGGGGGGTGGAGAGAGAAGAGAGAGGAGAAGGGGGAGAAAGAGAGAGGGAGAAGAGAGAGCGAGAGAGGAGAGAGAAGAAGAGGAGGGAGAGAGAGAAGAGAGAAAAGAGGGGGAGAGCAGAGAGAGGGGAGAGAGAGGGGGGGGGGAGATGAAAAGAGCAAAGGGGGGAGAGAGAGAAGAGAGGGGAGAGGCGAGCGAGAGGAGAGAGAAAAGAGAGAGGAGAGGGGAGAGAGAGAGGGGAAGGAAAAGAAGGGGGGGAAAGGGGGGGAGAAAAGGGGGAGGAGAAATGAGGAGGGGAAAGAGAGGGGGGGGGGGGGAAAGAGAAAAGAGAGGGGGGGAGAGAAAGAGAAGAGAGGGGGAAAGGAAGGGAAGAGAGGGGGGGGAGAAAAAGAGAGGGGGGAGAGAGAAAAGAGAAAAGAGGGGGTGAGGGGAGAAAAAGAGAAGAAAAAAGGGGGGGAAAAGGGGAGAAGGGGAGAAAAGGGGGGGAAGAAGAGGAAGGAGAGAGGGGAGGGGAGGAAGAGGGGGGAGGGGAGAAAGAGAGGGAGGAGGGAGAGAGAAGAGGAAGAGGGGGAGAAGAGAGAGAAAGGGGGAGAGGAGAAAGAGAAGGGAGAAAAAGGGAAGAAGAGAGGGAGAGAAGGGGGAGGGAAAGGAGGGAGGGGGGAGAGAGAAGAGAGAGAGGGGGAGAGAGGAGAGGGGAAGGGGAGGAGAGAAGAAGGGGGGGAGAGAGAGAGAGAGAAGAGAGAAGAGGGGGGAAAGGAGGGGAAGAGAAAGAGAGGGGAGAAGAGAGGGAAAAGGGGAGGGGGGGGGAGAGGAGAAAGAGGGGGGAGGAAAAAGAGGGGGGGAGAGAGGGGGAGAGAAGAGAGGGGAGAGAGAAGAAAAAAGAGGGGAGAGAGAGAGAGAGAGAGAGAAGAGAAGGGGAGAGAGTAAAAGACAAAAAGAGAGGTGAGAGAGAAATAGAGAGAGTGTGTTTGATAGGAGAGTGTCTGTGTGAGGGAGTATCCATGTGTGTGTGTGAGTGTGTTGTGTGTGTGTGGTGTGTGTGTGTGTGTGTGTGTGTGTGTGTGAGGGAGAGCAAGAGAGTCAGAGAGCGAAAGAGAGTAAAACACAGAGAGCGAGACATAGAGATTTATCGATTTGGAGAGTGCTCAAAAACAAGCCCCCCAAAACAAAGCAGAGGGTTTCGGATCAAAAAGTCCCGGTTTTACAGGGGCCATTACAATATGAAAGGGCTGCTGTGGGGCAGTACAGCGACACGAGGGAGTAGTTACAGCTAAGCTGCAGAGAGAGCAGCACCTTCTTAATATGCTGCTGTTTTAGCGACACACCCCTCCGCTGCAAACAAAATGTCCCTTCGGGGACAATAGTCAGTAAACGCCTTAAGACTAGTGAAATATTGTTGGCTCCAAATCCTAACTGAATCATAACATGCCTCGCCTTGGGAGAGAGAGAACATAGCTATGTTGAGCTACTGTAGAAATAGGCGTAAAAACATTTTGGCTGCATGATATTCCATTGGCTCAAAACCTGTCCTCAACAGAGAGTAGTGATAGATTATTGGCTCCAAAGTCAATCTAAATCCTATCATGCCTCGCCATGGGAGAGATGGGAAACAGTGTAGCTATGGTGATCTGAACTGTAGCCATTATGGTTAATAACATTTTGGTTGTGCTGTTTGATATTCATTTGGCTCAAAAGTGAATCGTACCATAGTCCAGGTGAAAGGGACATATTGCATGGAGAAATGTGGTGGATGAAAACTTGAATATAAACTGTTTTGAATCACTTGTCCATCGCAAATGAGATCCAGTCAAATGTACTGTAACACAGTATTAGTACAGCAGGCTTTTGCAGTTCACAGTTCAAAACAATATCCAGTCTAATATTTACTCATTTTTAACCCATTTAACATCTTTCAATAAAACAAACTGATGACTGGTCATGCTGGGTGTGTTTCACTGTTACACAATGGTCCAATAACACAGACCAGAGCCATACAGAACCAGTCAAAAGTTTGGACACACCTACTCATTCAAGGGTTTTTCTTTATTTTTTACTATTTTCTACATTGTAGAATAATAGTGAAGACATCAAAACTATGAAATAACACATATGGAATCATGTAGTAACCAAATAGGTGTTAAACAAATCAAGATATATTTTATATTTGAGATTCTTCAAATAGCCACCCTTGATGACAGCTTTGTACACTCTTGGCATTCTCTCAACCAGCTTCACCTGGAATGCTTTTCCAACAGTCTTGAAGGAGTTCCCACATATGCTGAGCACTTGTTGGCTGCTTTTCCTTCACTCTGCCGTCCGACTCATCCCAAACTAACTCAATTGGGTTGAGGTGGGGTGATTGTGGAGGCCAGGTCATCTGATGCAGCACTCCATCACTCTCCTTCTTGGTCAAATAGCCCTTAGACAGCCTGGAGGTGTGTTTTGTTTTTGTAGAAAATAGTATAAAGAAAGAAAAACCCTGGATTGAGTAGGTGTGTCCAAACTTTTGACTGGTACTGTATATTTAGATATATGACACAGACCAGAGCCATATATTTAGATATATGACACAGACCAGAGCCATATATTTAGATGGCTCTGGCACAGACTACAGCTACACTGCATTAAGCCCAGGGGAGCAGGAATGGCAGCAGCAAGTCAAGTGCTGAGACAACATATATGAACAAATATAAACAAATGCAACAAACACATTTAAACAACAGCAACAAATATAAACAAATGTAAACAAATGCAACAAGTATAAACAAACAGAACCAATGTCACCAAATATAAACAAAAACTGCAAAAATAAACAAATAATAAAATATCCAACAAATATAAACAATGCAACACACAAACATATTTAAACAAGCATAACAAATATAAACAAATATCTAACAAATATAAACAAATTTCAAATAAATAGAAACAAATATCAAATAAATAGAAACAAATATCAAACAAAAGGACTGCGAGCAGAGTTTGGAGGGAGGAGAATTGTCGACAACACTATAACACTACTGTATATGATATGACTGAGTGAAGCAGAGCTGCGGAGGGTTACACAGCCATCTCATCACCCAGACAGTCCGCGGGGCTCTCTGCGTTCAGCACGTTGAAGAGGCGTGCCGCGCCCTCAGGCCCCGCCCCCTCGCCCTGCCCCCAGCTGTCCCTGTCACTGCTCTCGTCCGTGTTGGACTCGTACTCGGAACCGATCCCCGACTCTCGGAACCGAAGGAGCTCCAGGGCTCCAAGGACCTCCTCTCCCTCCAGAGGGGAGTCCCCGGCTGGGCCGCCTGAGCTCGGACTCTCCCCCTCCTGGTCTTGGTTCTGGTGGGGCTCCTCTCCCCCGTGGGGGAAGCGGAAGCACTCCAGCCTCACGGCACTGCTGCCTGGCCCCAGAGAGAGGCTCGCCCTGGTCCCTGGTGGAGAGGACCCTGGTAGGGTGGAGGCCCATAGGCCGTTGCTGATCTGGGGCTGACCCTGCTGGGGGCCCATGGAGGTGGGGGTGGTGGGGGCGTCACGCAGGGAGGGCTTGGCACGGAAGGTGATCCCCAGCAGACTGTCCTGGGAGCCCACTGTGGAGAATACAGAGAACAGAGAGAGGGAGATTGAAATAGAGGGAGAAATAAAGAAAGATAAAAAATATAAAAAAGAAATTAAGACTATTAGTGGGAATGGAGGAAAGAAGATGAGTGGAGGGAATAGAGAGAGGAGAGAGGTGAGAGAGAGGAGGTGATTTGAGGAGAAAATTGAGAGCGGAGATTATGATAAATTAGAAAGGGCAAGATGACAGACAAGATGACAGGCAAGATGACAGGGAAGATGACAGGAAAGATGATGGCAAGGATGACAGGTAAGATGACAGCATTGCTGATGAGCTGTGATGTCAATCTTGATAATTATTAAATACATGACAGTACAGAAGGAGGAGAAGAAAGGGATGCATGAAGGAGAGGGGAGAGGGGGGGAGAGGGGAGAAGAGAGGAGGGGAGAGGGGGGAGAGATGAGAAGAGAGAGGGATGAGGGGAGAGATGAGAGAGAGGAGGGCTGAGGGGGGGTTGGGGGGGGGTGGTAAGTAGAGGGAGAGATGAGAAGAGAGAGGGTTGAGGGGAGTGAGAGATGAGAAGAGAGAGGGATGAGGGGGAGGAGAGAGATGAGAAGAATGAGAGGGATGAGGGGAAGAGAGATGAGAAGAGAGAGGGATGGGGGGGAGGGAGAGAGATGAGAAGAGAGAGGGGATGAGGGGGGGAAGTGATGAGGAAGAGAGAGGGAAGGCGGGGAGGTGAGAGATGAGAAGAGAGGATGAGGGATGAGGGGAGAGATGAGAGAGATGAGGAGAAGGAGAGGGAGGATGAGGTGGGAGAGATGAGAACGGGAGAGATGAGAGAGAGAGCGATGAGGGGAGAGAGGAGAGATGAGAAGAGAGAGGAGAGATGAGGAAGAGAGAGGGATGAGGGGGGAGAGATGAGAAGAGAGAGGGATGAGGGGGGAGAGATGAGAAGAGAGAGGGATGAGGGGGGAGAGATGAGAAGAGAGAGGGGATGAGGGGGAGTGGAGGGAGGGATGGGGGAGAGATGAGAAGAGAGAGGGATGGGGGGGGATGAGGGGGTAGGAGAGAGAAGAAGAGGAGAGGGGAGAGGGAGGGAGGGAGAGGGAGAGATGAGAGAGAGAGGGATGAGGGGGAGAGATGAGAAGAGAGAGGGATGAGGGGGGAGGATAGAGAGAGAGGATGAGGGGGAAGAGGAGAAGGGGGATGAGGGGGGAGAGATGAGAAGAGAGGGGATGGGGGGGAGGTGAGAAGAGAGAGGGATGAGGGGAGAGATGAGAAGAGAGGGTGAGGGGGAGGGAGGAGGGGAGGTTTGACGGGGGATGAGGGGGGAGAGATGAGAAGAGGAGGGATGAGGGGGGGAGAGAGAGGAGAAGAGCAGGGGGTGAGGGGGTTTGGGGGTGGGGGGGGTGAGGGGAGAAGAGAAAAGAGGGGATGAGGGTTGGGGGGGGGTTTTAGGGGGTAGAGATGAGAAGAGAAACAAAGAGGAAGAGGAGGGAGGAGAGAGGAGGAGGGGATGAGGGGGGGGGAGAGAAAAGGGGGAGGGGTGGGGGAGAGGAGGGGGAAGAGAAACAAGTTTGGGGAGAGAGAGAGGGAGAGGGGTGAGGGGGGAGAGTGAGAAGAGAGAGGTTGGGGGGGAGAGGGGGAAAGAGAAAACAGGGGAGGGGAGATGAGGGGGGGATGGGGGGGGGAGAGAGTGGAAGGAGGGGGGATTAGGGGGGAGCGAGGGGGGAACAGGGATGAGGGGGGTGGGGAGGGGATGAGGGGGGAGAGATGAGAAGAGAGAGGGATGAGGGGGGAGAGATGGGGAAGAGAACCAGGGATGAGGGGGAGAGATGAGAAGAGAGAGGGATGAGGGGGGAGAGATGAGAAGAGAGAGGGATGAGGGGGGAGAGATGGGGAAGAGAAACAGGGATGAAGAGAGAGAAGAAGGAAAGTGAGGGATGAGAGAAGAAGGAAGGGATAAAGAAGTAGAGCCAGTTACTGGAGCTGAGTCCTCCAGCAGCTCTGAGCTCCAGCTCCTGGATCTGTTGGACCAGTAGGGAGATGTGCTGCAGCAGGTCAGTGTTCTGCAGCAGGAGTCTCTGGACCCGGGCCTGGGCATCTGTCCTCGCACACACCTCCACTGACAGCTGGTCCTGGAGCACACACGTCTAGGTAGACACACACCACACAGGGGGGGGGGGGGTGAGAGTGTATACACACAGGTATACAGGTATGTAGGTAGGTACTGTATGCAGGTACTGTATGCAGGTACTGTATTGTAGGTACTGTATGCAGGTATGTAGGTACTGTATGTAGGTACTGTATGTAAGTACTGTATGCAGGTATGTAGGTTATGTATGTAGGTACTGTATGTAGGTACTGTATGTAGGTATGTAGGTACTGTATGTAGGTATGTAGGTACTGTATGTAGGTACTGTATGTAGGTATGTAGGTACTGTATGTAGGTACTGTATGTAGGTACTGTATGCAGGTATGTAGGTACTGTTTGTAGGTACTGTATGTAGGTATGTAGGTACTGTATGTAGGTACTGTATGTAGGTACTGTATGTAGGTAAGTAGGTACTGTATGTAGGTACTGTATGTAGATATGTAGGTACTGTATGTAGGTACTGTATGTAGATACTGTATGTAGGTATGTAGGTACTGTTTGTAGGTACTGTATGCAGGTATGTAGGTACTGTTTGTAGGTACTGTAGGTACTGTATGTAGGTATGTAGGTACTGTATGTAGGTACTGTATGTAGGTATGTAGGTACTGTATGTAGGTACTGTATGTAGGTACTGTATGTAGGTACTGTATGCAGGTATGTAGGTACTGTTTGTAGGTACTGTATGTAGGTATGTAGGTACTGTATGTAGGTACAGTATGTAGGTATGTAGGTACTGTATGTAGGTACTGTATGTAGGTATGTAGGTACTGTATGTAGGTATTGTATGTAGGTACTGTATGTAGGTATGTAGGTACTGTATGTAGGTACTGTATGTAGGTATGTAGGTACTGTATGTAGGTACTGTATGTAGGTATGTAGGTACTGTATGTAGGTATGTAGGTACTGTATGCAGGTATGTAGGTACTGTATGTAAGTACTGTATGTAGGTATGTAGGTACTGTATGTAGGTATGTAGGTACTGTATGTAGGTACTGTATGTAGGTACTGTATGCAGGTATGTAGGTACTGTATGTAGGTACTGTATGTAGGTACTGTATGCAGGTATGTAGGTACTGTATGTAGGTACTGTATGTAGGTATGTAGGTACTGTATGTAGGTACTGTATGTAGGTACTGTATGTAGGTACTGTATGTAGGTACTGTATGTATGTCGGTACTGTATGTATGTCGGTACTGTATGTAGGTATGTAGGTACTGTATGTAGGTACTGTATGCAGGTATGTAGGTACTGTATGTAGGTACTGTATATTTGTGTGCATACTTACACACCAGGCGCTTGCATGCACAAATGCGAACACACGCACACACACACACACACACACTTTGTGTATTACTATACTTGTGAGGACACACACACGTAAATATTATAAATGAATATCAAACTAATGCACACATAGGTTATTAAAGACACACACAGAAACACAAAGAATATCAAACTAAAATTAACAGACTGAAAGTGTTTTCCCTCCTGTGATTCTGCCTCTGTTCACTCAGCATTAGAGAGAATCTGTCGTTATAACCAACAACCAGCCCATACGTCATTAGAACAAGCCACGTGATCACAAGAGAGAATGGGAAACAGAAAAGAGAGCGTAGAGTGACACCGTGGAGCCAGCTTGCTCATTAGTCATGAGGAATGTCTTATATTACACCCGCAGAGCAGAGAGCTACCTTTGATGAAAAACACTGTCTTGTCTTCCCTTGCAGCCACAGCAGCAAAAGGCAATACCTCTCCCTTGTTGAACTGTCAATCATTAGAGGGGATCCTCAGGGTAGTAAGAACCAATGAAACGAAATAAACACTAATTAAAACTACTTAAACGTTTTCCAGAGGTGTGTGGTGCATTCAATAACGTAAACACATTCGGAAATATGAACAAAAACCTAAATATATAAAATGTAGTATTTATAATACACACGTTACTGTTTATAATGACGGTTTAGACACAATATGAAATAGCCACTTGTGCCCACCACAGCAAACTGCTGCAAGAGGTTTCTAGCTAACTAATAATCTGCCAAGGAACTGTAGCTCAAGTCTAAGTGTCTCTTTTTGATCTAAACTACCATAACAAACAGTGAAATGTACAGTATTTTGGCAAATCAAACTTAGCCAATGTTACTCATCAGCTGCGTTCAACAAGGCAAACCATAATTTGGGAACGTTTGAAAACGTGTCTACCTGTGCTAAGGCAGCCTGGGCCTGCTGCTCCTGCTGCTGGAGCTGTCTCTGGAGCAGCTGCACCTGGTGCTCCACGGAGCGGGGGGAGTCCACGGCCAACAGGCCCGACACGGATGGCCCCGGCCTGGGGGAGGTCAGCTGCAGGGCTGGGTCCTTGGATGGGGAATAAAGAGGACCAGGTCAGTTATTAGTGATCTATAATTAATGATGATAGGAGGGTACACATTTAGGATACACATAACATTACATATTGTTAGGGTGCAAGATTCCAGTAACTTTCCCAAAATCTCCTGGTTTTCCAGAAATCCTGGTAGAAGGATTCCCAGATTTCCTGTTAATTCCCTCCTGATTCTGGGAATCTTCAAACTGGGATTTCTGAAAAAACAGGACATTTTGGGGAAGTTACTGACATTTAACAAGCCCATTCTGTACATTGCTGTATGTGCATGCAAGTAGGAATTAGTTACTAATACTATTATCTTTATGTTGAGCAAAAACTGTCATGGTTTCTATTCCATCTGACAGTATTAGCCTTGATTTTCCCCATTGGTGAATGGTGTCATTATGTTACTGCGTGCTATAATTGCGTACACCACAATAGTGAAAGCTCTTTTTGGAAACCTATTGGACTTCATTCAGCACTTCACTTATAGGCCTACCATCATAAAGCACCAAGGACAGCTCCATACTAGCAGTAGTTATCTCTGTGCTATGAATACACCGGGCTGGGATTCAACACAATACGGTTCAATACAATACAATAGGCTACAAAAGAGTGTCTTACAATCAGCCAGGCAAGATAAAGCTATTAACAAACAGAGATAGATAGAGAGAGCGAGAGAGAGAGAGAGAGAGAGAGAGAATAGATAGAGAGCGGGTGGTATGACACACTGGTTAGTAGAGCACTGGATAGATAGCATCATGCTGTGTTTTCATCAATAAACCATAGGAACACATTAATATTACAACACCACCCTATGAAATATTTCTCGACAAACACAAGATAACATCTCAGTTCCACACTAGATCCTTCAGTAGCATCTGTTGATCTGCAAAAAGCTTCCTTTAAGGGTGACGTTTCGTCATATGCAAGAATTATGTAAATGAGGCTGAAGACTCATTTACAATATTTATGAGGTTTGAAAATCGGTTGATGAGATGGTGCTCTCAAAGCCTTATATTAGTTAAGAGTTTTGGGATGGAGGGCTTTGAATATTTTGTGTAACACTACACTTTACACTGCAAAAATATGGTGCTTTGCAGATTTGACCAGGGTCATGTTCAGTAGGTGGAAAACGTTTTGAAACTGAGTGAAACGGGGAGGTACTACCTGAAGTATGTGGACACCCCTTCAAATGAGTGGATTCAGCTAGTTCAGCCACACCTGTTGCTGACAGGTGTATAAAATCGAGCAAACAGCCAATCAATCTCCATAGACAAACATTGGCAGTAGAATGGCCCGTACTGAAGAGCTCAGTGACTTTCAACGTGGCACCGTCATAGGATGCCACCTTTCCAACAAGTCAGTTCGTCAAATTTCTGCCCTGCTAGAGCTGCCCCGGTCAACTGTAAGTGCTGTTATTGTGAAGTGGAAACGTCTAGGAGCATCAACGGCTCAGCCGTGAAGTGGTAGGCCACACAAGCTCAAAGAACGGGACTGGCGAGTGCTGAAGCGCGTAGCGTGTAAAAATCGTCTGTCCTCGGTTGCAACACCGAGTTCCAAACTGCTTCTGGAAGCAATGTCAGCACAAGAACTGTTCGTCGGGACTTCATGAAATGGGTTTCCATGGCCGAGCAGCCGCACACAAGCCTAAGATCACCATGCGCAATGCTAAGCGTCGGCTGGAGTGGTGTAAAGCTCACCGCCATTGGACTCTGGAGCAGTGGAAACGCATTCTCAGGAGTGATGAATCACGCTTCACTATCTGGCAGTCCGACGGACAAATCTGGTTTTGGCGGATGCCAGGAGAACACTACCTGCCACAATGCATAGTGCCAACTGTAAAGTTTGGCGGAGGAGGAATAATGGTCTGGGGCTGTTTTCATAGTTCGGGCTAGGCCCCTTAGTTCCAGTGAAGGGAAATCTTAACGCTACAGAATACAATTACTTTCTAGATTCTGTGCTGCCAACTTTGAGGCAACAGTTTGGGGAAGGCCCTTTCCTGTTTCAGGATGACAATGTCCACCTGCACAAAGCGAGGTCCATAGAGAAATGGTTTGTCAAGATCGGTGTGGAGGAACTTGACTGGCCTGCACAGAGCCCTGACCTCAACTCCATCGAACACCTTTGGGATGAATTGGAACGTCGACTGCGAGCCAGGTCTAATCGCCCAACATCAGTGCCTGACCTCACTAATGCTCTTGTGGCTGAATGGAAGCAAGTCCCTGCAGCAATGTTCCAACATCTAGTGGAAAGCCTTCCCAGAAGAGTGGAGGCTGTTATAGCAGCAAAGGGGGGACCAACTCGATATTAATGCCCATGATTTTGGACTGAGATGTTCGACGAGCAGGTGTCCACATACATTTTCTGTTGCAAAACGTTTCGCTACAGTGTGATGTAATGAATAAGACCCAGGTCATACAGTACCTTCACATCTTTACTAAGAAGGTCCTGGCTTTTGGTCTTGTCCAGGTCAGATGACAAACAGTCTATGCTCTCCTCCGTGGTTGCTTCAAGGTCGGTCGAATCAGACAATGCCAACCTCGTCTTGGCTGAATGAGAGAGATGGATGGAGAGTAAGATGGTTCTAGGTAATAAGATGATTCTAGGTAATAAGATGGTACTAGGTAATAAGACAGTATGGTGCGTGAGCGAGTGAGTCACACCTGGCACGACTTCTGCCCCATCTGCGTCGGCAGCATTGGTGTCCACTCCCTCCTCGGAGCTCTGCTGCAGGGTCAGCTGGTGGCACACGTCAAAGGCCTGGCCCACTGTCCGCACAATGTGCATGGCCTGGGACTAGAGGGGTGGGGGGGGGGAAGAGGAGAAAGGAGAGAGAGGGAAAGAGAGAGAGAGAGGGAAGGAGAGAGAGAGGAAGGAGGAGAAGAGAGAGGGGGAGGAGGAGGAGAGAGGAGGAGGAGGAAGGAAGGAGAAGAGAGAGGAGGAGGAAGGAGGAGAAGAGAGGGGGGAGGAGGAAGGAGGAGAAGAGAGAGGGGGAGGAAGGAGGAGAAGAGAGAGGAGGAGGAAGGAGGAGAAGAGAGAGGAGGAGGAAGGAGGAGAAGAGAGAGGGGGAGGAAGGAGGAGAAGAGAGAGGAGGAGGAAGGAGGAGAAAGGGGGGAGGAAGGAGGAGAAGAGAGAGGGGTAGTGAGATAAAAGATGGAAGAAGATATATTAGAAGGAGAGGGAGAGAGAAAGAGAAGGGGAGGGAGGGAGGGGGAGAGATAGGGGGAGGGAGGGAGGGAGGGAGGGAGGGAGGGGGAGAGATAGGGGGGGAGGGGAGGGAGGGAGGGAGGGGGGAGAGATAGGAGGAGGGAGGGAGGGAGGGGGAGAGAGATAGGGGGAGGGAGGGAGGAGGGGAACAAAAGAAGGGGGAGGAGATGTTTTGACTGAGCAGTAATTCAGCAGTTGGCCTCTTGCTCATCTACAGTAGGTGCATGCTGTCGTTGTGATGGATTGGTTCATTCCAGAGCCGTAAGGTCTCAAGGTTTTCCTTTAGACCCTACTAGGCACAACACACTCATCAATCCATTGGTTATATAGCCAAAATAATTAAATAGTTCCTACTTTATACAACCTTGTCCTTAGAGCAATAATGCCGCAAGGTACGAAGGTGGGTAGTCTTGTGCACTCAGTGGCACATTGACATGGTGCTTTTAAAATGCCTCACATTCACACAGTAGCTTAGGAATGCTACCACAAGGCTTTCATTCACTACTGTATGTCAGTAAGCACAGGGCAAGTGTTGTGTGTGAGATGGTGTGCTTCTATGGTGCAACAATAATAGTCATAGTTATATGTATCGCATTCTATGTTACCTATGTATAGTAAGTACCATACTGTACCGTATAATGATAGTTTGGGCCATTTCCAGTAGATGCCTCAATCCAAAGAAATCACCACCAATTTTCATTTTACACAGCCCCAACAGGAAGTGAACGATGACCTTTGAGATACTAGCACTGCGATTCAAACTAACAATCTGGACCACAAGGCCAATTTGGAAATTACAGGCTTATATAAACCCAACAGTGATCAATGGGAGCCAGGCCGCATGAAGCCCAGAGTTATCAAGCAGAATCAGCAGTTCAGCCTCCACTCCTCTGGACAAAGTTGGATCTGGAAGCCCGAGATAATAAATAATAATATGCCGTTTAGCAGACGCTTTTATCCAAAGCGACTTACAGTCATGCGTGCATACATTTTTACGTATGGGTGGTCCCTGGTATCGAACCCACTTACCCCTGACGTTACAAGCACCGTGCTCTACCAGCTGAGCTACAGAGGACCGTAGAGGCTGGAGGCGTCTGAGAGGCACGACTACACTAGATACAGGATTACGCCCTGTGTCTTTACTCTCTGGTAAAGATGGTAGGTGGTACTGGTTGCAAAATGTCACCAAGTACAGAATTAAAAGCCTCTTTCATCTCGACCTCGTCTCTCTAACTGCATCCCGTTCCCTATGTATTGCACTACTTTTGACCAGGGCCCACATTCCCCAATAGGGAATAGGGTGCCATTTGTGACGAATTAGTATGCTGCTTCACTCAGTCACTGTCAACAGTACATGTCTGGTATCCATTTTTTTTTTTTTTATTAATTTACTAGGCAAGTCAGTTAAGAACAAATTCTTATTTACAATGACGACCTACACCGGCCAAACCCGGACGACGCCGGGCCAATTGTGCGCCGCCCCTATGGGACTCCCAATCACGGCCGGTTGTGATACAGCCTGGTTTCGAACCAGGGGGTCTGTAGTGACGCCTCAAGCACTGAGATGCAGTGCCTTAGACCACTTTTGTTATGAAGCAAATTGGCGCCGTTTGATATGCAGCTATGGGGTAGTCACATGCCATTCTTTTCTACAAGCATTTCTCTATCATGCAGAGTTGAAAGTCTTCAGGTGTGTGTACTGTGTGCAACTGTGATCTTGTAGATGAGACAATGTGTGTGTTTGTGTATAGACAAAGCTCTCTATTGAGATTATTTACCACGGATCATATACCACGGATCTTATACCACGGACCATATACCACAGATTATATACCACGGATCATATACCACGGATTATATACCACGGATTATATACCACGGATCATATACCACGGACCATATACCACGGACCATATACCACGGATTATATACCACGGACCATATACCACGGATTATATAACACGGATTATATACCACAGATTGTATATAACTGATTATATGCCACTGATCTGGATCCTGTGGATAATTTACATCTCATACCCAGCCCACTCCCACAGAGATGCACACTGTCTTAACCATAGAATTACATAGAACATATATAGAAAGTATTCACACCCCTTCACTCTTTCCACATTTTGTGTTATAGCCTGAATTTAAAATGGATTAAATGTAGATGTTTTAGTCACTGGGCTACACACAAAGTGGAATTATGTTTTTATAAATGAAAACAAATTCATTAAAAATGAAAAGCTGAAATGTCTTGAGTAAATAAGTATTCAACCCCTTTGCTACGGCAAGCCTAAATAAGTTCAGGAGTACAAATGTGCTTAACAAGTCACATAATAAATTGCATGGACTCACTCTGTGTGCAATAATAGTGTTTAACATTATTTTTTAAACGATTACGTCATCTCTGTACCCCCAGTCGAGCAGTGAATTTCAAACACAGATTCAACCACAAAGACCAGGGAGGTTTTCCAATGCCTCACAAAGAAGGGCAGATATTGGTAGATCGGTAAAAATAAAAAAGCAGACATTGAATATCCCTTTGAGCATGGTGAAGTTATTAATTACACTTTGGATGGTGTATCAATACACCCAGTCACTACAAAGATACAGGTGTCCTTCCTAACTCAGTTGCCAGAGTGGAAGGAAATAACTCAGGGATTTCACCATGAGGCCAATGTGACTTAAAACCGTTACGAGTTTAATGACTGGTGATAGAAAAAACTGAGGATTGATCACATCATTGTAGTTAACTCCACACCTAAACTTAATTACAGATGAAAAGAAGGAAGCCGGTACAGAATGCAATATTCAAGACATCATCCGATTTGCATATAAGGCACTAACGTAAAACTTCCAAAAAAGTGGGCAAAGAAATTAACTTTATGTCCTGAATACAAAGCGTTATGTTTGGAGCAAATCTAACACGACACATCTCTAAGTACCACTCTTCATGTTTTCAAGCATGGTGGTGGCTGCATCATGTTATGGGTATGCTTGTCATCGGCAAGGACTAGGGAGATTTTTATAATAAAAAGAAAAGGAATAGAGCTAAACACAGGCAAAATCCTAGAGGAAAACCTGATTCAGTCTGCTTTCCAACAGACACTGGGAGACAAATTCACCTTTCAGCAGGACAATAACCTAAAACAAAATGCCAAATATACACTGGAGTTGCTTACCAAGACGACATTGAATGTTCCTGAGTGGCCTAGTTACAGTGTTGACTTAAATCGGCTTGAAAATCTATGGCAAGACTTGAAAATGGCGGTCTAGCAATGATCAACAACCAACTTGACAGAGCTTGAAGAATTTTTAAAAGAATAATGTGCAAATATTTTACACTCTAGCAATGATCAACAATGAACTTGACAGAGCTTGAATATTTTTTTAAAGAATAATGTTCAAATATTGTACAATCTAGGTGTACAAAGCTCTTAGACATTTACACAGAATGACTCACAGCTGTAATCGCTGCCAAAGGTGATTCTAACATGTATTGACTCAGGGGATTGAATACTTATCTAATCAAGATAAAGTATATTAGTGTTATGTTTTTCATAAATGTTTTACAAATGTTAGAATTTGTCTTCCACTTTGACATTACAGAGTATTTTATGTAGATTGTTAAAACAATTTTAATCCCACTTTGTAATACAACAAAATGTGGAAAAAAGTAAAGGCAGTGTGAATACTCTCTGAAGTCACTGTAGAATTTCAGGATCTCTAAGGTCTTACCTTCCTCTTGGATTTGAATACATTACAAAGGAACATGTTGCTCTGTCCATCTCTCGCAATGTAACTGAAGATCTTCAAGTCCTGGGCGTCATGTGACACATAGAAAATCCTAAATGAGACAGGGAATATGTCTTGATCATGAGAATTTGATTGATTTCAATGCAACCGTTTTTATATCAATATCAAATAATTTCTCTGTAACAATTAAGTAACTTACTGTAATAGTTTTCCATTAAAATGGTCAAAAATATATTTTTAGTAAAAACTATTTCTCAACAAATAATTGTGCTAGGACTGTCTGGGAGTGTTCTGAGTGGGGAGGGGGGAAAACTGAAAACGATCTGTTATTGGCAGAGAGGTCTGGAACTCTCTTTGTAATTGGTCTATTAACCAATAGTGATGTCACCAGGCAAGCCAACATTTTCCATCCATGCAACCTGCTGATTAGAATGTCCTATGTAGATTGTATTTTCAGGGGCCTCCCGAGTGTCGCAGCAGTCTAAGGCACTGCGTCACAGTGCTAGAGGCGTCACTACAGATCAGGGTTCGATCCTGGGCTATGTTGCAGCCGGCCGTGACCGGGAGACCCATGAGGCGACGCACAATTCGTCCCAGCGTCATCCGGGTAAGGGGAGAGTTTGGCCAGCCGGGATGTCCTTGTCCCATTGCGCTCTAGTGACTCCTTGTGGTGGGCGTGCACGCTGACTTCGGTCACCACACTTTTACAGTGTTGGTTTCATCAGCTGTTGTACAATATGATATAAAACACAGGAAAAACAGAATTTTGACTTTACTGGGCCTTTAACGACTCAACCAAAAGTCATCAATGGGCCAAAGTGTAAATA